TGGCAACTATATTTCACAGCTTTCTGAGATCTCAGATTTGGTCTGTGCATAAGACAAACATTTAGAAATGTAAAAAAAAAGACAAAGAAATCTAAATAGAGATAAAACTTAGATCTAAATAGAACTACAAAAATAGAAATGAGTTAATACTATCAAATGTGACCAGATCTTGACTTTATCTTTACTGATAATCACTAAGTATGTTATATTCATCATATGAAAGTCAAGAAGTACTGAAAAAATTGCTTAACTTTGATACTTTGCAATGACTAAAGTGAAAGTGGAGTTTCTTTTACATCTTCTTCAATTATTCAGAACAAGAGAGAAAGAAATTGGTAAAAGATCATCTTGACTGTTGATTCCAACTTAATAGGATTCGGAGACTTTTTGTTAAAAAAATTATTCAAACAACTATGACAAAAGTATTTCAGCTTAGTATTCCTTGGACTAAAAAAGAAAAGAAATTTAAAGAATTGGAAAAATCTTCTGTTTCTAGAACTTTGTAGAAAATGTTTGAAGTGGGTTCCATCTTGGAGAGAAGAAAAGCTCTCACATCAGCTTCGGTAGCGATCCTGGCGTGAGCCCCTTTCGGGACCTGTGAATTCTTCAGCAACCTGAGTTTTGGTGAGATGCACACACCCTTCACCCTCAGAAAGAGAGGCTGCCGTTCCAAAAATCAACCCGACGAAAGTGCTGTTAGGTCGCTGTCATTTTCCAAAAGCACCCATACTAACACCTGTTGAAATTCAGTTTATTAAAAAGGAGGTCTGCTGTTCTGGGTGCCTGCATTTGTAAACCTCTTTCCTACTTGGTCACACGAGAGACAGCGCAGGATGCTGAACCGGTCCTCTTCCCTGGTCTTCACTGCCAAGGGCAGCCCAAGGAAAACGGGCGGCACAACCAGCTCAGCCCCTTGATATTTCAACCAAGGTGGCCATGCGAGCCCACAACACTGGAAGCTGTAGATCTGCAGCTGGGACTGCAACTCCCTCAAAATACAAGACCACTTGTGTGTGTGTTCTCCACCACCTTATCTCTTTTTGGCAATAAGCCATGGTGTAACCCCCTTGAGGTGACAAAAGAAATAAAAGCTCAGATGTGATCAAAGGACTCATCAAGAGGCATGCGAGCGTCTGAAGGTGCACAACAACAAGCAGGTTTGGCACAGCCATGCTTTCTTAGTCAGTTTCAATGGGTGGTGTGAACTCAATGCTGAGAGTGAAGGTGAGGTGAGTAAGGATGCGACAATAAACTCTAAAATCAGTCAGTATAGTACACTTTCATAGTTTGAGTCCATATTTGGTCACAATCTTATGTAAACTATTTCATGGCACCTTTTGTCCATGCAATGAACAAGCCCAAAGTAAGAAAATAGCAAGAACAATCATTCTCTATTACTGATATGTCCATATAAATACATATCTTTACATAAGATAAAGAGATACTGATCTACATTTTTTTGCATGCTTCTCACTAGTTTCACATGTTGCCCAGTTTTAGATGTAAGTGTAGAAAAGATGGACGTGTGTACTACTGCAAACAGGAAGAAGCAGCTATACGTAAACATATCTCAGACTTGTAAAATCTGCAATTCAATTGTCAACTATAAATATAAAAAGTGGAGCATTATATACACAACTTCATGCTTGGAAGGTTAGATTCATCACTGCAGAAAAACAAACAACAAAAAAGACAAATATACAGAATTAGTGGTCTAGGATAAAAATTCCAATTTAACATTTATTTTAAGAAAACTGGTAGAACCCTGAATAGAGTTTTTTCTTCTTTTAAATCAATAAGCCAATCAATATATGTCCTACACATCACTTTTCTAAAACTCCAGTGTCATCAAAATTTCCATCCTAGATTTAGCCCACATTTTCCTTTGCTGCAGAGGAGTTTCTGGTAAGTGTTTGTTTCAGTAATTATTCTGGGAAAGCAGAAAATTAGGATTTTTAGCATATATGTACCATAATTAAAATACATATCCTATTTATAACTTATAAAATCTTCCCGAAGTGCTAAAACACTCTGTGGAAAACGCTGAGGATTCTGACCTCAGTGGCACTGTGTACTTCACAGACCCCTGGCTATAACACTCTACTTCCTGTATCCACTTTCCTTTTGCTAGTGCTGCCCTGCCATGGCTGAAGTGCAAGGTAAACCCGCCTGCTATCACATCTTTAAGTTGTATTACAGGTTCCATTGTGATCTAAGATACCATAAATTGCTGCCTCTTCACTTTGAAAAGCCACACTTAATTAAGGTTTTCCTAGAACTAAAGTTAAGTCTGAGAGAACTGAGGGACAATTGTTTTTGAGGTAAAAACTTCTGGAACAGATCTTGCAGATGTTGACTTTTATTCAAAAATAAAAAGCAATGAGAAAAGTAAAATGTCCAACTCACTAATTGAAAACATTTGTTATCTCCCTCCAAGAAACATAAACACCACATCAGATGTGTTTAAGAGGCTGGGAACTTTGTAATCTTTAGAGGTGGAGTTCACTCTATGTTTATGGCTGTTATGTCCATACCAGAGAATGTGCCTACAGGAAGTATTCCTTTCTCCAAACTCTCACTCATCTCAAATTTCAAACAGATGCATTTTTTTCCAGTACCTGTGTTTTGTAAATAACCTAATAGAATTAAAAAAATGTCCTCCCACCCCCTAGATTTTAAAACTTAGTTAAAAAATCTGTCACCTTGTTTTTAGGTAGGTCCTGTTAAAAACCTGTCAGCTCTACTTGGAAAAATAAGGTTTAGTGAAACATTAAAAAATATATAAAGGCTATAGTATTTTTCCTGTTAAATAGCTTTAAGCTTCAGATAAGCATGGATGACAACCTTAGTGGCCTGTAAGTATTTTCTTAACCATAACTTCTGCCATTTACTCACTGTGTGAATTACACTGTGAACTGATACATCATTATTCTTCAAAATTTAGAAAACTGAATTGTATCTAAAAAGAAAAGTAATTTAATAAAGAACAAATCGTTGTGCATGAAAAAATTATTATTGAGAGTGGCCTGACCGAGGGGACTTGCTCATTAATCACGATGACTGACACGGCCACCACGATCTGATTTTTCAGTCAAACATTTACCACTATGTTCCAGAGGCTAATAAACAATAATGTTCAAAAGAGGGTCCAGATAACACAGGACAAACTAAAAGGAATCTATTGGTATTCTTTTTAAAATACTTAAAAAATAATTTGATTTGATTAACAGTGCATTTGAGATAGCTAAGTTGACCACATAGGAGATTTCAGAACATGCCATTTTTCTAATTGTTTCTTTCTTCTTTAGGGGGAAGAGTTTTGGGGAGAGGTTGATCACAATAATCTGCACGCGCGTGTTTGTGTCGAGCGTGGTAAGCAGTATTGAAATTTTATCATTAAGTTGTTATTCTTTATATAAGAAGATGCTAGATTTAAGAAATCCTTGATGTTATATAGACTTCGGTATCTATTCTGTGGAAAAGTGAATACTTACCGGGGAAATTTCTGATTTTCTGATGCTACTCACATCACTACTAGGTTTGGCCTTTCCATGAACCAAAAGGTGATGAGTGCTTTGCTTGTTGCTATTATCATGCCCTTACAAAAAGGAAGTGATTCAGAAGTGGATGAAAATGAGGTGAACCCAAGTTCTGAGTGGTGTTAGAAAGACTGACTTTCTTACACCTCCCCTGTGTAAGGCATGCCAGTGGCTGTATTAAAAAATCATTATAGTATGAGATTATAGGTCAAAGGTTAAACAGTAAGTGGTAATTCCAGCTCAGGATGGTATTAAAAATTCTGAGAACAGGGGTTTCTCAGGTGAAGAAGAATCTGATGATAGTCCCATCTTCCTGAGAACCACTTGACCCCAGCTGTGATTGAGATAATTATCTGACAGGCTGAAAATGGAGTTTGGGAAGCTACTAAATAAATGACGCTGCTGAGAAAGAAGGAAGGTGTTTCTTTCCCTGATCAAGTTGGGTGAGAGTAGTTAAGCAAGAGAGTAAGTTACACAGGATCTCGCCAACATAGTTGATGAGCTAAGATGAAACCAGGAGAGTCGAGTTACCCTTTTTCTTTCTGCAGTCTTACATAGTTTTGTATAATTTTGCCAATGAAACATGTCTGTAAAAAATTACTATATAAGCCACAAGGTTTTAGAGAATAAATTTCAAAATGATCAAAGGGGCACGTACACTTCCCCCTAGCTCATTCTTACATCAGTGGAATTGCTTTCTCCTTCAGTAGCACATATGCCCAGCCCTTCACAGGCCCACGCTGGCGCTGTGTAAAAGTTTGGTGTCCCCTCAGCACAGCACAGACCAGGTCTTCCCTGCATCGGAGTCTGCCATCGCTTTCCATCGTCTACTTCAGCTTCTGTTACTTATTTGCTCTGTGCCTTGGATGTTCTTTAATCTCTCTGAATTTCAGCTTCCTCATCAGAATCCCAGAGGATAACCCCCTTTTGGAGTTATCGTGAGGATGAAATAAATAGAAGCTTCTCTGTTAAGGTAAAGTTCCCTTCCCTACACAGTGGCCATAGGTAGCCGTATGAAGAGGCTAGAATAAACTAATAAATCAAGATATTATTGAAGAAAAAAGATCATGCTGACATTTTCTGCTTTCTCAGCTTTGTGACCAATATTAACAGGGTTCTACCATGTATTTGCATGTTTTGCCTATGTAGTTGAGTATAAATAGACAAAAATCACAATTAAGAATAGTTTTAAACAGTTGGAGGACACAGAGTTTATTGAAAGACAAGCAAACCATTATGAACATGCACTGCCTGCCCCTTTCCATCCAAAGAAAAGATTAGATAGGGAAGGTTGCAAATTACGATGTTTACTAAGGACTGTTCTTACTCCTCAGTTTAGGAAGAAATCAGTAGTAAACATAATTATCAAAAGGTATTCTGGAGATGGAATCTTTTGCTTTTTAATATCCAAGAAACTTTTAGGAATGTCAAATTCAAAAGCTCTGCTATAAATGGAAAAGGCTAGGCCAGGTGAAGAGGAAGGGAGAGAACTTCTTTCAGAAATAATGCCATAAAGCCTACCTTTTGCCAACAGCCAGGCATGGGTAATCCATCTGGCCCCTGTTTGAAAGAGAAGAATAAGAATTTCTCAGGCCCCACACAAGTGATCATACTTCATCATTCACATGCTCAGACCTTAAAAAATGGATTTCTACTCAGTAGGTAGCTTTAGTCTTAAGAATCTTTTTCTAATTACAACAACTCCCAACAGAGAACCCAACATTAGTAAAAATGAAGAAAGTTCAAATGTTTTTCTAGAGAGAGTACATATTTTGAAAACCCACAAGGTATAGAAAAAATAAGCCTAATTTTGAAAAAGTAATTTGCAAAGCATGGTGGCCTACTCAGTTCTATCTTTAGATAATAAATCTGTACTATTTCTCTTAATTTTATTAAAACACATTTCACAATTATTTTTATTAAATAAACTGAAATAACTTCACTTCTTGGTCACTATGGTCTATGGTTGAATGCATGATAATGGCGAATAATCAATGATGAACCATTTCTATCTGAAGTTCATAGCTCTTCACATGTTATTTTTCACTTTTCTATATTGAAAGCAGATACAGCAGAATATATTTAATCAATTGAATTAAAATATAGGCAGCCTATCTATAACTTTACAGTGAATTGTTATCTATAGCATTCAATTTTTCTATTAAAATTCTTCAGAAGCCAGTTAACAAGCTCTGAATAAATAAGGGATTTCTAAACGTTGCAACATTTATTTTTATTAAAGTATAAAAACTCTTCAGATACAAATGATACAAATAAAGCAAGGAGAGTTGGTATATGATGAGGCATGCTTGTATTTTCTTCCAACAAAATGATTGTAAAATATTATTTATTATCATTACCAAGCAAATAAAATAAAAGTCTGGGCACTTCATATTGATATTTCCTAAGTTTAATTATGAACGGAATAAATTTTTTTCTATAAATACAATCTCTTAAAAGACTCGAGAAACATAAAGTTATCTTTACAGAATCATGCTTAGCACTAAAAAATAATATAAGAACATGCAAATATAACCATCAACACAACATAGAATGTTTTCTGTTATACTTCAGAATATATACTTTTTTAAAAATGTAAAAACAAACCACTTTGAAATAACTTTATAAGATATTTGGGAAAAATTCGGTAATGCCAGATTGGTACAAGGAGAAGGATCACCCAATAGAATTTTAGATTTTAGTATAAGGAGGATTTTGAGTTCATGCCAATGGAAATAAGGGAGTTCTGTCTATTTTTAGGAAAGTGAGTTTCAAAAGGAGAGACCATTAAATCAAAAAGGTTATGTGACAAAGAAGAGGGTTTGGGCTGTAGACTATTGTCATCTTTAGAAGCTCAAAGAAGCTTGGTTTACTTCCCTACGGTCTTTTAGCAGCATCCCCTGAAATGGCTAACTTGACTGCAGAAGCTTAACTCTGGAGGCTCGGCCTCATTTACAATCTGACAGAAATTTAGTGGAACAGGCAAAAATGCCTTTACTTCCTTTAGAGAAAGAGAAAAAAAGTCCTATTTAGGGGGTAGCACCCAAAGTTATCGTCTAGCTGTCCATTTACATAGAAGATTTTCATGTCCTTTAATGTAATCTTTAAGTATTTATTGAATAAATTAATATCCCCCCAGCAGGCAGGCGTGGTGGTCATGCCTGTTGTGAGAACGATGTTAGGAGATTAATTTGCAGTCACTGATCGAAATGCATGCTTGCTCTCTTCAATCTGCAGAGATGCCGAAGGAGCTATTCATGCACATGCATGTAGTGTGCTTATCATGTAAAGCTTGGTCCAGAAGCACCACTTTACACTGATAGAGACGGATATGTAATAAGCAAAGGAACTGCATGCAGGGAGGTAGGAAAGAGAAATACTGTACCAATTGGCAAGGGGCATCCAGCCCATCCAGGCCAGGCTGGCCTGGCTCCCCTTTTTCCCCCTTAATGCCACGGAATCCCTGTTTGTAAAGATTAACTCATAACGTTACTAACAAGAAATAATTTACACACAAATTCTGCTAAAGAAATAAACAATAAGAAAAGGCTGGGAGAGGAGCAACTCTGAAGTGAAAGTAACATAGTGAAGTTGGACAAAGCTTCACAAACAATGAGGGCTTGTTGGGGAACCGTGCCCTATTTTGAGAAGTACAGAATCATGATGGTTCCTCTTCAGATCCTACATTCACGTTGGATCAGTGCTTGAGTGTTAAGAAACCAGGCAGAGCTGGTGGCCAGAGACAAGGTAGGGAATGTACCAGAATAACCTGGATGGATACTTCTGATACTTTGAAATCTGTGATAAATGACCCCAGTTGGAACCCCTGCTGTTACAGGTCCCTCCAGCTTGCTCTTCCCCCAGCTTATCTCTTCACACATCACATCTGGAGACAGAGTTTCATGAGTCAGACATACCAACGGGCAAGGTGCATCTAATCCAGGAGCACCCTGTTCTCCTTTCTCCCCTTTAGGCCCCTTTTTGCCTTTCTTTCCCTTTTCCCCCTGTGGATACAAGGGTTTAAATAAAAGACAGGTTTTATGGCGGGGGGAGGGGGGATAATGGTGATTCAAAACATGATTTAGCTAATAAAATCTGGAAGGGCATTTACCACTGGTTTAGGTAAGGCATGATATTATAAAAATAGCAGAGTGACAATGGATACTGGCCAACAATATGTGGCATTTTATTTATGGTTCTCAGTGAGATGATGGAAGGAGACCTAAAGGCCAACCCATCAGAAAGGAGTATCAGTGCTGATAGAAAACCCAGGGCATTCGTCCCGCTGAATGAGGTGTTTCTGCCATGGATGTAGGGAGGGCGAGGTGTGACAGGTACCAACTGTACTGAAGCCAGCCAGTGGCAGGTGAAGTTCAGAGGAATAATGGATACTTTGCTCAGTTTTCAATACCTGTCAACTTTTTTAAAAAAAAAATCTAATCCTGTAATGGATGAAAGCTACATTGAGCCAGAGGAAAAGAACATGAACAGTTTCTACCTTTTTGAAATATAGCCACCATTTCTTATAGCTCTCATTAAAAAAAATTCAATGTATTTAAATATGCTTTTATTTCTTTTAACATTCTTTTGTGGGAAACTAAAGAGCAAATATTTTCCTTATTAAGTCAGGTAAATAAGTTTTAAAAGTGCTAATACTTCTCAGCAATACCAATTGGAGAGACGGGCTTATTTATAAACCCAGGGATCTTCTTTAATTCACTCTTATTGATCTCATGCCAGATGTTCACAATGGTAAATGGGTTTCCAGCTTACTTGCAAATGCCAAAAAGAAAAAATTCTGTTCAGGAGAGGAAAAGCAGTTTGGACTCAGTTGAGCTAATACTAAAAATGAGGTAGGCGGGATAATTACATAGTGGGAATGTAGCCATGGAAATTAGTATTAGGAATCAAGGTAAAGGTTGTGGAAATCTGCATGGATCAGAGGGATGGAGGAATTTAGGAAAGGAGGCAAAAGGAGGAGAAGGAAGGAATGCACCTCAGCTGTTTCACATTAACATAAATATCTGCATATTTATAGACAAGAAGTTGGTGAGCGCAGAATACAAAATACAATACATATTTAAATTAGCATATTCATTTTGCAATCAGGATGGCAGTTATGATAAAACTGAATAATCTCAGAAGCAAAACAATGTGAATATTCAAAGTGAAAAGACATACACATAACAGAAATATATAAGATATGCATTCAAATTAATGTATTCATTCTGACTGCGTGAGCAAAAGCTCCTCATTTATCTCCTGTGTGCCAAAAAGATTGCATCAGAAGGCTCAGAATCAAAAACACTTGGGTTTCTTTCATACTGGGGAAAGAGAAATTCGGTGTGGTTTTGTTGATCATGATTAAAGACAAAGACCTGAGAAGCCAGGGTGAAACACGGCAGGTGTGATAGGAAGGAAGGTGGGAGGAGCACTCAGGAGTAAACCGCTCACTCCTGCGAGATGAATACACATCCTTCCTCAGCAAGTAAGTTCAGGGCCATGATATAAAATGGATTCAAACTTGTTCGTATGAGCCCTTTCCTCTCAGAGGACAGTGGACTCTTCTTCACGTAGGTGTGACCGAACTGGGTGTGTTAGGTGTTATTAATTTAGAATTCACTTCATTGTTTGGTAAGTCAATGCATATTAATAATTCAACAGAAAAGTATTGTCATATGAATGTTGACTGAACAGGCTATGGGGATAATATTATGGTAAACTTTAAGCTTTATGGAAAACAGACAGTATTATACAATGAATAATAGATCAGTGTTATTACTAATCAACATAGTGTTGTAACACTTAGGGATTCCCTCTGTAACACAAAACCATATGTCCTTGTGGGTATGAGCGCAGAAGGGCTCCTGCTATTATTTATCTCCCATGTCAAAGAATGATATACATACATAAAGTGTTCATATTCAGAATAAAATTTTCCTAAATATAAAACTTCTACACATGGAATCTGAAATGTGGAAATATTTTGCATGGGTGATTAACATTACTGTGAGGGTTAAATTTGTAGCTCAATGTTTTGCTAAGTTATAAGACCAGTAATTTCCTCTTTGTTTAAAAGAGCATTAAAATGAGTACCCTCATCATAGTAACACACTTTTGAGTGAGTAAGGTTTTAGACTCATACAACCCATGAGGTAAATATAAAATCTGTAATCTTTAAAGCACAATTACCTGGAGCTAAAGTACACAACTTACCTGAAAACATTTATATTTTAGAGTGAGAATTTATTATTCAGAATAAAAGAATTGTTTTTGCCTCACTTTCCTTGTCTGTGAAATGTGCACAAAATAGCACCAATCTCAGGGGATTGTTATGAGGATTAAAAGACTTATCCTATGTAAAGCATTTGGGGAAAACACTAGGTACTCAGTAAATACAGTGATGTTGACGATGGTGGCGGTGGTGCTGTTACACAGCCGCTCAGATGAACGCCCTCACCAGCAGGAAGGTACGCAATGCTTACGGCTATGGTGCACACAGTGGTCTTCAGACCGTTCCTTCTTTGACAACTCCCATTCAGCCTTGGTTTTCAACAGCTATGAACTTCACTGTTAATGATAATTTCTTTAACAATGAAGTTTTGAAAATTCACTGTTGAAGAAAACAGTGTGTTGTTAAGTAGGTCTGGGCATGAATTAATCTGAGAAATATAACTGGTTTAAATTTGAACTGTGAAACTACAATTTCAGCCACTTTGATTTTCACTCTTCTATTGAGGTGTTCAGTTTTTGTTTGCTTCTTTTGCTGTGTCCAGTGTAAAAAATTATTCTTCAAAGATGTAAGCAAAGGGGAGAAGAAAGAAAAGAGTGATTCTGAAAGCTCACAAGCCAACTTTTACTTTCAGACGTGAAACCATTTTGTTTGATTTTGGCTTCTACGTACCCTGGAGCTTATGGTCCTGGGACATGATGGTACCTAAACATGACCTCATAAAATACACAAGCATCTTTATTAAAAATATCTATAGCCTCTAACAGCAGCAAGTCCTAGTCCCTGCCTAATGGTCTCACTGGGGTTTATCAGTCACACTGCTTCTATTTTTCCAACTAAAAAAACCCCAGTTACAGAACAAACCTTCTGTCTCCTCACTGGAACACTGTGAATTGAGGTGCAGGGTTTACCGCTTTAGGTTAGCTCTGCCAGAAAACCACTACAGATTTGTGCTATTTCAGTTTACGTTAAGGTGTAACAAATGCTTTTTTTTTTTTTTTTCATTTTCAAGAGTCCTTGAACATTACATCTTTCAACACACTGGTGTCAAGTAGTTGAAAAACTGTAGCCTGGCTATCTGGGGATTATAATAGATTTCTCCTATACTGGCCAGTGCTCTTATGTCTAGAGGTATAGCCTTCCTCATTCCGCTGTGAAGACCTGATGCCTTCGATCAAGCATCAGCATGTTTTTGGAGCACAGGATGGAGAGAGGTTTAATGCAGGAAAGAATCACACAGGCTGAACAGCAAAGCAGACAGCATGAGAGAAATCAAGCAGGTGCGTGCTGGTATGGAGAAGTCACCTTTTCTCCCTTTTCTCCTAGATCACCCTTCTCGCCTCGTGGACCAGGGAAGCCCTATAGGATAAAAAGCAAACCAAGGAGATCTACTGATGCAATTGTGGCAACACTGAATTCAAAAAAATAAATTTGAAATTTCACGTTTCTCAATGCAGATATAAAGAAAAATGGCAAGCCCCAAAATCTCAAAACTTAGGTAAAGTAGCACTTAGAAATGATAGTTTACTAACATGTCAATTATCCATATACTACAGGGTTCTTCCAAGGAAATGTCTAGTGGAGAGAATATCAGGATCCTAATTTGAATCCTGGCAAGTTCACTGCTCTCTGTGGCCTTGTGCGAATCACTTACCTCAGCATTTTAGTGCCTTGTCCATCAAATAGGGTTGATGATATTTACTGTACAACTGTTGGTGTGAGTATTGAATGCGATGGTAAAAAGTACTAGAATTATGTCTGCACATATCAGGTGCTCGAAAAACAGTAGCTACTATTATTTTTGCTATTGTTATTATTCACACAGTACAGGACAAGCAGTTCTCATGTCAAGAGGCATTTACTTTTGAGATTCTCTATATTTATAAAATTATAAGATATATAGGGACTTTATGGTAAAGGAAAAAAAATATTGCCTTAGAGCTGAGAATAGATATAATACACCATTACCTAAGGGTGGTGTGTGAAAGATACTTCAATTTTATGTATATTTTTAAATGAGTGGCTCAACATAAATGTTGAGAGTGTCCCTAATTTGGAAAAGTATTTTAAAGTGGAAGTTATTAATTTTATACCAGATGATTATTTTTTTCTTTTATGTTTATTTTATGCAAACGCTTGTGGTGTATTTTGTGTTGCTGTCTATTTGCACAGCAATAGATGTTGAATGCATAACTAGGTGCACAGAAACAATAAGAAGTATTCTTGCTGTTATTGATGATGGAGACCATCAGCATCTATTATAATAGGAAGATGTTCATTGCACGTATTACTTACATCAAGACCAGGCTCTCCATCTTTCCCCTGCCAAAGAACCACAGTAGCTACATTAGTGTTCCTAGGTTTCAGGAATAGGTTATTGTTTTATTTAAGGCTGCCTGGACATGCAACATTAGTATTAGAACTACTTCAGAAAGGTGAAAAAGATTCTCTGTTGATTAGTAAATACATTTCTTTCACTAAATTAAGTGATGTGACTGTTAATGTTGTTGTTACGAGTCATGAAAAGTTTTTCTTATGTATCAGGTTAAATAATTTGTTATTTTGCTGAAGTTGAATGCTTGGTGTCTAAGTTATCAGTCCAGGAGTAAGATGAAAGGAAAAACAGTTTAGTTGATTTAAAAGCACACCAGCACTAATAAAGTATGCAAATCAATGCTGCTTTAATTTGATAACTTAGTAGTTAGCTTGTAAATGAGTAAAAAATGTGGAAACTTTATTGTTAAATACAGTTTGAATTTGGCTAGATATGCACCTTGTCTACAAATATTGAGGGTGTGATCATCACAACTTAAACACTGTTTTTTAGCAAGTTTTGCAAACCAATGATCCCCAAATGTAAAAGGAGTCACAAGACTACTGTGCAAGGACAATAAAGGCGTGCGCAGAGTGCAGATGACCAGGGCAGTGACCCTATTATGTCACACAACATATCCACCCAAAGTTACTGAGAGGTTGCTTTAATTTTGTCAGTTGAAATCTATTTCAAAACCAGCCTTCCCTTGAAATCTATTTTAAAATCAGCCTCTCTTGTAGCAGTGAAGTAATTATGGTTTCTTTTGTCAATTCATAAAAACTGGAAGTACACAGTATGTGGAAGGTGCATGGCATAAACCTTACTACACCGTATGCTTCTATTGTAGCCCTTCCCTAACCCATGGGATCGCTTATGAGCACCCCAAAGACAATGTTCTGAAGCAGACCTGAGGCCTCAGTTTGAAGTCTGTGTAACTGACTTTTTAAAAGACAGAACACTATCCACACTCTATGTTCCGGAGATCCATTGCCATCACAGTGGCTTAAAGGGATCAGAGACATCAAAACTATCATGAACATCAATTTGAGAAATAACTTTTATTAGGAAGAGTAGTTTTCAGTGAGTAACCTATGAGAACAGATCAAGTCTGCAGGAAGTTGTTTTAAATAAAACTTCTACAACCACCTTTGGCACAATGACCTTCTAAAGAAGTGCCAATTAGGGGTGACCAGTCAGATGGTATAGGGACGGTGTTATCAGACAGTGGGACTCCCACCTTTAGGTTAGAACTGTTCATCTCACGGACAAGCTCTGATCCTCTCAATCCTGCGAAGTGTTATGGCGTACGTCTACCCATGAGTGGGAGAATATAACACAAGTATGACCTATCTCTGGGGAACACGATGCCCTCAGGCTTGCACAAAATGAGTGGATTGCTCCTTGCCCCTGTAATGGGATTAGTTGGCCCCGTGAGGGAAGGGTTAACCGTGCTAGTGACAGGCAACCTGTGCGGTGAGCAGAGAGGTGCACAAAGACAGAGAACTCACAGGCAGCCCATAGGGTCCTCTGGGTCCTGGCTCTCCCACAGTTCCTTTTTCACCCTAAAATGAAAGGCAGAAAGTTCAAATCATACCCACACACCAGTATTCACACCTGTGCCCTAAAGGCCTGTGTATAGAGCCTCTATTTGAAGCATCACTCTATTAAAATTTCAAAGATTCAGGCTCTTGCAGAGTCGCTGCCAAGGATATAGTGAAAGTCACCTACATTAGACTACTTTACTAAATTACCTTTGAAAGAGGAGCTGGTTGTGCAAAAGGACCAGCATATCTAGGATGCTGTACTTCGGTTATTTTGGCACTAGTGTGAAACATTTATTTGTTATTAATTATTTTCAGTTACTACTTTTTTAAAACTGTGAGAATAAAATGTCTTTTTTTTTTTCTTTCTGTCGAACGTCTCTTGCTCAGCAAGCCTTCCCTGACCACCCAGGACTTACAGAGCTCACAAGGCACTCGCCGGAGAGAGACACTCTGGGGGACCCATGCAGGGTATGACCTGTGTATTCTCCCCCAAGCTCCTCACTGGAATATTCACCCTCGGGTGCCAGGGACTCTGGCTGGTTCCCTGCTGCACCCCCATGGCCTACTATAGTGCCTGGAACATCAGTAAATATCTGTTAATTAAGTCATAAATCAAGTCATATTAATATAATCATGTACCTGCTTTGCTTCTTTTCTGAAAAAGAGGGTTTAAAAACTTTTATGTCTTCTACTAAATGCCTGATAACCTTCCTCGCTCTCTCCACGTGCCTATTTAAATAGAATAGCATGCCTTGGCTTAAATGACAATCTTGAAAGCTTATACAGAATAAGTGGAATTGGAGGTGGTCCCATGAATATGAAATACAATTGTGATGACAGAGAAAGAGATGTTCTGCATTTCACGTAGAGTTCTCCTCTGCCACCATCTGCAAAATTAATGTGTTTGTTGGCATTTAGCATGAAAACTTCAGAAGCTACAATGCTGTTTACATGAGTGGCCAAACAGAAAATGTTACCTTCTTTTATCACACCCCTGAAGAAGTTTAAAGGTTATCACATTTTTTTCCATGGGTAAAATGCCAAGTTCAGCTGAAAACTGTGAATGCAGATCCAAGTATTTTGTTGTATTTCTCTACACTCCAGATTCCCTTTGGAGCAAATTTCAAGTCCCTGTTAACATTCTTCTTTAATTTAAATTTAGGGATCAGTGGCTCTAATTAGCACTGTCACCTGGAAGCATGTAAAAACTAGGGAGTTACTGAAAATAAATATGATAAATGCTTTTGAACTTTTACTCATTATTGCTTTATGTTTATTACTGAAAGAGCAGCAATTGCATTCAGGAAAGTGGTCTTTGAAAACAACAGATTTAAATTTGAATTCCAGTTCTGCCACTAACTGTCTGCATGGCCTTAGGTAACTTTCCTGTGCCTGAATTTCAATGGCTATAAAATAAGAATTTCCCTGAAGACAAATGTGATTATAAAATATGAAATTTATTGTTGCCAAATAATATGTCCCATAAATAGTAGCTACCATTATTATTATACAATTAGAGGTCTTATTTTTAATTAAAAAGGGCTTGGCAACTCAAAGATCACTTAATTCAAAATAAATTTAATTAATTTGATTTGGCAGTGTTATTTATGGTTTTTAAAATGGTAGCAGTGGTTGGCGCGCGCGTGTGTGTGTATGTGTGTGTGTGTGTAGTGGGAGGTGGGGGTTTTAAAGGAGGGCTCATATAACCTGGAGTAGATCTAGTTTTAAAAAACTCAACAGATTAGATTTAATTTGAAAAATCTCCACAGATTATTTTTATGTACCTATTCCCTCCTTTGATTGAGCCCATTGGCTTTGTTTTAAAAATGAATATACCATGGCTTATTTGAATTAAGCTGTTACTAAAACATTTGTCTATGGAACTTCTCTTATAGAATTGCTCACCCCAAATAATTACTTTAAGCTAATATATGCCATTCCATTTCTCTCAGCAGTGGCTGCTGCAAGAACGCACGCGAGGTGTGGGGGAAGTCAGCTGGGGAGCGACAGGGAAGGGCTGCAGGGGAGGATCCTCGGGGCAGGAGCGGGTTGCAGGGCGCGGGGCAGGGTGTCTGTGTGCGCTCTGCTCTGCCTACCAGGAGGGGGCACTGGAACCACCGCCGCCAACCTGCCAGCGGTCAGAAGACTAAGGCAGCATGTGGAAAGGGCACAGAAGCAAAGCTGACAGTCCCTCCTTTGAACATTTTGTCATATGGAAAAATAAGTGCCTTTCTTGTTTAAGGCATTTTGAGTTGGAGTTCTGTCACTTAGAGCGCAAAGCATCCTTTCAGGAGTGAAATATTGACACGGGGATTGGAATGTGCAACTTCTTTTGGTGGATTAAATAATTCCCAAACCCTTTTTGAACCTCTCAAATTTAACATCCTTTACAGAGTTCCTAAGCAGTTACAAAGCCAGATGAGGAATCAACTGGAGGCAGGAACCATCAGGCGCTTGAGCTGAACACTAGTGGTGTCAGTCATGTATTTGACCATTTCTGAATAAAATTGCCTGTCAAATGCCTGGTTTCCTTTAAGCTGGTCTCATTTTATTCACGCTCTTTAATTTGCATGTCTACACTAAGGAATTATTCTAGAATGGCCCTCTTTCCTGATTCCTCCCGCTTCAAAATTGGAAACTTTTCAAGAGAGTCCAGATGGCGCCTCAATCAATTAACATTGAGAATCACACTCCAGTTCAGCACTTTGGGTGAGGGGCACTTAGAGAGCACTGATATATGAGCCAGTTAAGATAGTTAACATGCTGAGTAAATACAAGTGTAACACTTTACACTGCACACCATTTGACTTAAACTATGCCATCAAAAATTCTTAGAGATTTCATATGCTCTCGTGGTTAATTCTGCCCCAGGGCCGAGACCTGATACTCTTGTGACACTCTGGAGCTATCGGAAGTAGCAGCTGATTTACCAAATGGTAAACCCTCTTGAGCCCCAGGGCATTCTGCCAAAAGATTACTTGAGATTTGCTGCTCCATTTTTAGTACATGTACTGAATTTCTTGATACAATGCTTGAATGGTTCAGCAATGGAGACTTTTCATTTTTAAATATTTTTAAATATGATGATCTTCATAAGTCATTGGCTTGATCTTAGAAATAAGACCAAATAAAGATCAGATTATTTATTCCTGTAAGACTCACCTCTTTCTAGAAGCATTCTTGGACAAAGCCAGCCTTCCTCATTACTGTATGCACTGCCTGTACCTATTTGTATTCGCTTTGGCCTCCTCATCTGGTTATTTTTTGCAGATATTTTTTTCCTCTGCAATTAGGTTGTAAACTCTTCTAGATCAGGGCAAACAGCTGCTTCCTTACAGTACTGAATAAATATATATATAGTATGTTAGTAAGAGATTATAGGATGAGGAATTAATTATAATGGTATTCAATTCACTGGAGCAAAAAAAGGCTTTACATAAAAGGGAGGAGAGCGTTTCTCTTTCACACTACAAGTACAATGTGTTTTGTACTTCATAACATGTGATAAATATTTACTTGAATGAGTAAATTCAATTTATAAAACATGGAATTGGGGTGTACGCCAAAGAAATCACCAGGTGGGTCCTTTATTTTAAAGCAAATTATCACAGATTGATAAAACTCCATCTAGCTTTGAAAGACCACAAACTTGCACAATGAATTATTACAACATTTTGAAGCCCTCACTGTTATGATACTTTCTTTATATCTATCCAGGATGGTGGGGAAACTGATGACACAATTCCACTCAGACACACAAACACTTCCACATCTTCCAAAGGTAGGAAAAGAAAAACTGGGAGAAGAGAAAGAGGGAGAGAAGTTCCAGACAGATGACCAGCTGCTGATGCAGCAGCACATTTTTTTGTGTCAGATATTTATCTTCTGCTCTTTTTTATTTTTTTTTCTCCCAAGGATCTGGAAACATAGCCTAACAATAGAGAGGTTAGTGAAAGGTTTTAGTTTTATAATGCACTGAAATTATTTCCTTATGGTTAAAGAAAGACAAGTTTTTCTTTCTTTCTTTCTTTCTTTTTCTTTCTCTCTCTCTCTCTCTCTCTTTCTTTCTTTCTTTTTCTTTCTTTCTTTTTCTTTCTTTCTTTCTCTCTCTCTCTCTTTCTTTCTTCCTTCCTTCCTTCCTTCCTTCCTTCCTTCCTTCCTTCCTTCCTTCCTTCCTTTCTTCCTTTCCTTTCCTTTCCTTTCCTTTCCTTTCCTTTCCTTTCTTTCTTACTGTAAACAGGGGCATGTGTAACTGTGTGGAGGAGAATACTTAGGTTTTATCATTTTCTTTAAAAAAAGTTATGACTTACTATCAATGAATACAGTAGCTTTATATAAAAGATTATCAACCAGAATATGTAGACCTGGAAATTTTAGCCCCCTTGACTTCTATTTACTGGATTAAGGCCAAATAAAAATATCTTCCTTATGGGTTCAGAAGGAATGGTCTGAGCTATTTATTTAGCTATGTAAATGTATGCATTGTATTCTATTAAGGCAGCCAGAGTCCACCTTAATACTCGGTTGTTTTCTCAGTGTGACAACTCAGAATAGAACTTAAGATGATATCTATGTTCATTTAATATTAGACGGCCCTTCATTTCTTCTGGGAAACGAGCAGTTCAGTTCAAGTAAAATGAAAAGGCAACACTCTATTTTCTTTAGATCATAGCTTAGTAACCTCAGGAGCAACTTACTCTTTCTCCTTTGGGACCTGCAGGGCCATGGGGTCCCATAGGGCCATCTGTACCCTAAAAGAAAGATAAAAATACGATAATATGAGACATATCCCAAGGGCTATCAGAAAGGCAGTTGCAATTCATCTCGGGCCTTTCCTGGGTGAATGATGCCTGACAGTGTCCGTAAGACAACTCATCTTGCAAAGTGCTTTACACTTGATTCTTTCAGGCCAGTAGTTTTCAAGAAACTCATGCAAAAGGGATGAATTATATAACTGCATATTTCAGTGAAGGGCACACACAAAAAGCTGTATATCATATTTAATTATATATTTCCTCCCTGACTAAATGGAACCTTTCACTTTGCCCCCATAATCTTTAAAAAAATGTATTGTTTTTCCTTCATATCACCTCTTGTTCACATTCACTCTCCACCCGCCATCACCCCCACTTTCTTTGGCCACGGGTGCTCTGAAGCCTTGCATTCAGCTGTTTAAGAGGCTTGAACAGTTACACAAGTGGAAAATTAAATAAATGAGAACAGTGTTCAAACCAAACTTGCTTCGGCTCTGTTGGGAGCAGCAGGGGGCTTAGAGGGAAGGAATTATTCTCGCAGGTTCTGTTGTGGTGGCTAAAGTCACTAGGCTTACAAGGCATAAACCAGGCAGCTGATGATTTAACGGCATAATTGCCTTCTGGCCTCTTGCTTTAGGACTAGGATTTCTGCAGCAGATGAGATAACACCGAATGAATACAGGGACACTGAGGTCCCGGAAAAACAATGACTGCCTGAAGAAGGTTTTTAGAATCGAAGAGCTGAAATTTCTTTTTGATTCTTAAAACTGTAGCAAGGACTTCAATACATTTGCTCATTTTCTGGAAGACTATGCTTAGATTTGCAAAGAATTTATTATAGAATTTGCCAATGAAACTATTCAGCACATGTTTTTATAGTGTTCTTTATTTCCCTTCTGTTCTTGTTTGTTCTGTCAGAGACTTGTGATATGAAATATTTCAGGGTTTTATAGTCACTCTAATGTAGGTGAATTCTCATCATCTTAAACTGATCGTTTACTGCCTGAACTCAAAGTTCATCTTCAGAAGACTTGTAAATACTGAGTGTCTGTCGCTGAAATTAAAGAGATGGAGCTGTTTAGAGCCAAAGAGACAAAATGACAGAAGACAGACAAGTCGTTTTGATGAACAAAGATTTGAAAGTTAGTTCCAGTGAAGAAGTTACATTTCTAATATAAACATAAACATAAAAGGAAAAGCGAGTTAAAATAAATTCACATTATTTTAATCCCTTCAGAGGGCCTCTCTCATGGAATTACAGGAAATGTCCATTGGTTATGAGAAAATCTGTCAGGGTCTAAGACGATGATGCCAATTGGCCTGGCCAGTCTTCTCACCTAGCAAGTCATCGGAACCTAAGCCCCGCTTCAGAAACGTGTTCTGTAGGCAAGACTGTGCGGCACACAGAGCCGCAGCCCATGCCCTGTTCACCTTTTCCTTTTCTGCCACTGTCTTTGTCCACCTTCTCGTTTCACCCCAGTCCTAGGCACCCTCATCTTTTAATGAGAGCACATGAGCGAATCTGTCCTGAAGCACAGAATTCATAGCCATAAACGCGCTGGAGCAAGACAAGGCACGGACTCACCCGGGCTCCTGGCTTTCCGTCTAAGCCAGATGCTCCCTGTGTGATTTGGTTGGTAGCAGGGTTGGTGGGTGTAACACGAATGACAAGAACAGAGATTAGTATGAGGTACCAAAGAACAAGTGTAAAACTTCAAACAACATAATACCCAGTCACAGGGTTCTGGGATGAATATCACATTGCTACAAATTGTTAGTTAAAAAAAAACAACAAAACACAGGACAATAAACACCCCCACAGACAACGGCATTTTAATGACATTTCCATTGGACAAATTCTTATTTAGAAATCAAGTTAATGAGATTCACAGAGTGGACTTTAAAGTAGGTACCAGAAGTAGTCACAGGCTGCTAATATCCGTATGAAATTCATTTTCTAAAGACTGTACTGTTCACACTATTTTTCTTTAAGTTCTGAAGAAAAAATCATGGCCAATCTCCTAAGAAAAGGGCTCATTATAATAATCAATCAAGGTTAGCATTTTAGAGAAGAAGAAAAGAGCTCTAGTTTTACTTGTTAAAAGTGGATTTATGAATAACAAATGCAGAACTTGAACCTGCCAAATGACTATGGGTTTCATGTGAACAATAGTCAATGTTTTCTGGTTTGTTCTTAAATGTGTTCACTTAAGTCACCACTAGAGGGACTTCTAGGAACAGGAAAAAGCCAGAAATATTTCATGAATCCAAACAAAAAAAAACTATCCTAAACAAAATTGTTCTTCAAATCACTTCAAATAATCATTGCATCAAAGTCTGAAGGGGAAATGCTCTAAAAACCAATGTTCTCAGATAACGCATGCTTTTCTTCACCCTGCACTCTAGGTTATGCACAGTGTATGATTAAAGATAATATTTTCAGTGCTCGTTTCAAGAATAAGCACAATTACTTCTTTGATATGGCTTTTGTACCTCAAAACTCAAATATTTACTTATAGTTATTTAAAAGTATTGATTAGATCAAGGAGTATTTAGGAAAGACCGTGCACTCGCCCTATAAATTCTCTCGGCAAGGTTGCAGAACTATTTTCCCATTTTGGGCTTCAGATGTAATTAATAATACAAAATGAAAGAAAAAATTTATTCCAGCTGTAAGCTCTACCAATGATGCTGTACCATATATATTTTGAATAATTTTAGATTTTATTTTATAATTCCTTCTTTATAATTCGGAGTCAGACTATAAATGCAAAAGACATCTTTAGGTAACAATGATTAAAACATTTTAAGTGTGTTGTTGTTTGTTTAATGATAGCACATGTAGAGCTTTCTGCTAAATGTAGTAAAAAAATTATCACTAGCCCTAAATTTGAAATTAGGGCAAACTTTTAACAAGTTGGATTAAGGGTTTAAATGAAATAGAAATCCAAATTTTCTCTTGCATTTTGGTACTTTTTATTTTTAGAGTCACTATTATTATAACATTTAAAAATCAATATGGAGATGGTAAAATTTTTGCACTGATAATATATTTACCTGGAATGCGATTTAATGACTTACATGTGTTATAGAGGTTTGATGCCTAATGTCCATTGATCTAATTGGTATGATTTAACCTATGCTCTAACACAAGGCTTATATCACTCATTCCATTAGTGAATATATATTGAGCATCTACTACATGGTTTAGGTAAGAAACTGGTTATCGAGTAGAACGCTTTAGTACTTAAGATACAATGCCCTAATAAAACAAGCAGCATCAATTTTTTTTATGTGTCAAATGTGTATAAACTACTCCCTGTTACCAATTTTATGTCATATTTTAATCAGGTAATCTATAATGCTCTTTATTGACTTTTATCAACATTCACAGAATAGACATAGTAAAAGCTTGAAACTGAAACCTCATATTTGATTACCATTTTTTAAAAAAATTCTCTTTGTAGTTGTGGAAAGAAGACTGGCACTTCTTCCGTCCTATTCACTAGTGCCACAATAGTCTCATAAGAGAGCATTTCCAAAACAAACAACATACAACATTTAGACCACAATGTGATTGATTAGCGTAAGCAGCCACCGCACTGGCCTCATGCCATCAACAAGGGCCAGCTGCATACCTGCCACCAACAAAGGACTACGGTTTGGGTATTGAAGGAGAAAAAAATTGAAGAATAATTTAAAACTCCACTAAATTATAAAAATGTTTGGGAGAGATTATGAAATTATCAGCACAATACATTTTTAAAGAGGAGAATGATGAGAGAAGAATCGTCAGCTTTTGGAGAGGAACGCTGGCACGTATGGAACTGAAGGACAGAACACTCACGGCGTCGTGTGTTATGGGGTCTTCCTCTGACAGTGAGCAGACATCAGAAGACAGAACTGGGCTGAGCTCTGCACTAACCCAATGTGTTCTCCAATTATAGAAATCTCAACTGTAAGATAGTCGCCGAGTAAGCCAGAGTTGTTACTTAAGGTAGAGAGGAAAGTCTGAGATTTGCACTGAAATGGAAAATTTTCTTTACTTACTGGAAGACCAAGGGGTCCTCTGTCACCCTTTTGACCTGGTTCACCCTTCAATCCTTTAACACCATTTAACCCTGGTTCACCCTAAATGCAAAAGCAAATGCCAATTTTGGTTGCTATCACGGGCATTTCAACTATGAGAGAAGAGAGCCAGTCTCTGAAATGGTTGCAGATTCCAGTTTTAGGGAACAGCTGAGTCAGGCTAGGTTTGTCTTGTATCAGTTCAATATCAATTTTTAAAACATTAAAAAGTTAACAAACTGAAATTGACAAATAATATTCCAGGAAACCAAACTGCCTAAAAAGTGGGCTCTGTATGATCAAAATATATATGCATATAACCGAGTTCCTGAATTTTTCAGTTGTATATCAAGGAAATTGGTGTTATGCTACCTTGTAACATAACCAAGCAACTCAAAGACAATAAGACTGGAGGATGCTGAAGGAGACTCAGCAATAAAAAACCTACTCTGCTGCAATGGAAAACTGGAATATGCAGGACAGTGTTACATACAGACATTTTAAGCCTTTAAGCATTTTGCCCAGGGGAATGAGCTAAAAATATAGCAGCTGATGTTTGAAGTAATGCCATTAAGTGAGTCCTCATTCAGTAACATTGCCAAGTCAGGTCCCTACATGGATTAATCAATAGAGGAGACAGCAAATAGCCAATCCCAGAAGAGAATAAGAAGATCACAGAACTTACATGTAGTAATTTCATCTGCCCAATGTTAGAATAAAGAAGGTTTGACTTCAGCTTAGGGTGAATGTATGAAAGCCAGGGGAAGTGATAAATTTTGTCAACTCTCTTGAAAAAAAACATCTAAGAATACAGTACACCTATTTTCTATCGGCAGCAGCATGTGAGAAATAGAGCTCTGACTGCTTCATATTTCAGCTTTTAAGCCCAGACATTAAATTCATGAAGAAAATGTTGAAAGACTTGAAGGAAAGATGATTTCAGTCTCAGAGCCCTACAGAGTCTTTCTGGGTGGGGTGGGAGGCAAGAGAGATTGTGTCTACCTGGCCAGAGGGTGGTATTTTCCCCATCTGTCCATCAATGAAATCAGTGTGGTGCTCGTCAAACAAAAGGGCCCAGGGCCCTACCTAGACTTTAGTAACAAGGAAATGCGTATTTTTAATCATCTTTCCTGGTGATTCTTCTGATCAGGAAATTCTGGGAAATAGCTCATCCTTAGAACCATGTTATATATTTGAACTTCCAAAGGGGTCACAAAGTAATGAACACATGTGGGCACAACCTAGTGAAATTTTGGGAATCTAAAGATAGGATGATCCCAGCGCTGCCACTACAGGAAATCCAAATGTGCCGTGGTTGGTAAGGTTTGATCCTGGCAATGCCACAGAGCTAGAGTTAATGGGAGGTTAAGGCCAAGGCTCAATAGTCAACTTCAGCTAACTGGTCTAAATTTGAGATACATGGCTTTTGTATGTGTGTGGTCTTTCAGCAAGTGGTCTTGAGATGATGGATAGGCAGGAAAGCCTTCGAAGGCTGTGAAATTCTTTGGTGAGGAATCATGCATTGATAGGAACAGTCATTAATTGAGAAGTTGAATATATAAACAATCTAATTCAGCGGCAAAAAGACCACATTTCAATGCTGGACGTAAATTCCATCCCCAGATCTGTCATGTAATTAGCAGTGTAATTTAGGGTAAATAACCTAAATTTCCTGGGCCTATAGTTCATCATCTATACAATCAAGGAACTAGCAATAAGTAGTCTATGAGATCTTTGAAACTTTATAAAAACTTTCTGAAGTCTATGATTTAAGTACAATTAAATTTAAATGTACACAAAAAAATCATTGCATTTTAGATATCAAAAGACTCTTGAGCATTTATTAGTTTAATAGTAATGGGATATCTGAATCAGTCATGGAATTAAAAAAACACAGTCTTTGTGGCTTTAGCTTGAATTATGATTGGGCTGGTCTTCAGGGGTGCCTTCACCTCCAAGGAGAAGCCCAGAGTGGGAAAAGAGGCCCAGAGAGGTTAGATAACTACTAGGACCACAAAGCCGATAAGTGGGCTCTCTCTTCTGACCCCCAGAAAAATGCTCTTACCCCAAACTATAATCTAGAATTCTGAGACACTGTTACTCCTTGGTCTTACCAGAGGTAAAGTATTCTACAAAGAATAGAGAGACATGAACTCTTCCCATGCTTGGGTGAGTCACCTGCCTGACCTCTAGGAAACTCAGATTCCGGGAGTCAGACCAGGATCTCTGCCACCCCTAACGCTGGGTGAGCCAGAGGGAGTCTCCAGAGGACAGGGTGGGATGACTTTCTGATTCCTGGTGCCAACGCCTCATTTATGAATTCTCTCACCCCTCACCATTTAAATGTACCAACTCACTACTGAGGAGCTTTCAAGAGTACTTTAGTCTCCTCTCAAATAGCCTTGTGGACTGGCTAAATTTTTCTGTTCAGAAAAAAGCATCAAATTACAAGATAACAAAACAACTGGCATTTATTGGGAGCTCATCAACAACTGCACCAGATGTTTTGCTATTAAATCATCATAACCCTATGTGATAAGTTACCTAGTTGAGTAAATGAAGGATCAGACAGGGTAAATAATCTGCCTAAAGTGACATAGCCTGTCAGGGACAAAGCTGAGATTAGAGATCATCACACATGTTCCCAGGAAGGAGATTGTCTTTCAGGGCTCACTTTAATCCTCCAAGATGTCCTCTTGGTTCACATGAAGGCAGAGAACAGGTGGAGCCCACCCATCTTCACAATACAAGCTGCACTAATGCTGAAAAGGAGGGGCCATTCTCCATTGCTCTCTTGTTAATCCAGAGTAGATGTACGTGTCTCAAAGCACGAGTTGTAATCTCCTCAGTATAGCACACCTGATACCCCTTGCTCCGTTCTAGACCAGTGACCTCCAGGAGAGTACAGAATTAAGGATGCTGGAAAGTCGAAGCATTTAGATGCAGTGCTGCTACTATATGACAAACAAGAAGTATCAGTAACATCTAAATGTACAACTAAAGATACTATCATAAGAAAGTATCCAGACTAGTCTGAGAATCTCATCAGATTTACTTCTAAATGGTTGATTTTGAGTATATTATGATTAGTGATTTAAGAAACTCACATGGTGACAAGAAAAAAAAGGCAAAATGAAGCATAATTCATCTCCAGGTGATATCACTTAAATTTGTTCTAAGTCATTCTGTGTTGTGAGAGTTAAACATCTGGATACTTAAAGGCTTAAAGATTATCAACATTCTTGACAAGTAAATAAGACAGGACAGACATGCTTCCGTCATGCTTCTCCATGATTAACAAGGAAACAGAAATCAAATAATCAAGGGATTTGTTAGATTACCTTTGGTCCAGGAAGTCCATGGGGTCCCTGAAAATGAAAAACACAGCTTTTAATTAAAAACTGGTTCACTGTGTCCCAGCAGAAGTGCTTATATAAAGTAACAAAAGAGATATAAAACAAGAATCTTTTTGTTTTAGCTGTAACTAGAGGCAGGCTGGTGGATGTTAATACCTAGTGGAAGTTCCTTCTGGTTTCTGGATTGTTCTGTCATAGGAAATTTATTAATAGCAATTCTTTCTGCTAAGTATCTGTGAGAGGGAGGGAGGAATCTGAAAGGGTTGTATGAAAGAAAAAAAAAGTATTGTACCTAAATCCACACTACTCCATTTTCTTAAATCCCCATTTAAAAAAATCTAGGTGGAAAATGCGAGATACTTCATGAATTTATATGGAGTACAGATAGGTCTTAGAAGACAGAAATTTGCCAGAGAACAGTCCCCGATTTTAAATACCAGTGAAAAGGGGAGCTTTTCCATTACTAACTGCTCTAGATCCAGGTGTTGAGGATGCTAAGGTAGAAAGGGAATGTGGAGATGATAGTAAAGTCTGGAACCCTATTGCATCATTTATTTAAGACTAAGGAAAGCACTCTAATGGAGTAGTGGTAAGCATTATTATTAGAGCATATTTATTTTTACAAAGATGAGTTCTTCCAGGTTCTTGTAGCAAATGTTTACCAATGGAAGGAAGTCATGATTCATGGATCAAGGCTCTCCCCCTGTATTTTGTGGAAAATCTAAATATAGAGACCAATTAGCCAACCTAAATTAAATAAAATTGACTGTGAATTGCTTTAAACTTTTCAAGTAACTTAAATAAATATTGACGAGAGGACTATTTAAATACCCATCAGTGAAATCATGTGACAGTAGGATAATTTTTTTAATGAGCAAATACATAGAAATTTGTCATATATGTCTATATTGGAACAATATTTTCTCTTTAGATAAGTTGTGGATAAGCATTTTCAGGAAATGTCTGATATTTATTGAGTATTCTTATCTCACTTCAGTCATGATTTAAAATTGTTTTAAATGAATTAATTTTATGCTAGGAACAGAATATAGTGTTTTTAAATTTAATCTTCTAACTTAAAGTAGAGGCAGTATAAAAAACCCAAAAGTATGCCATTTGCTTAATTCTTTTTTTTAAAAAAGATTTTATTTATTTACTTTTAGGGAGGGGGAGGGAGAAAGAGAGGGAGAGAAACATCAATGTGAGGTTGCCTCTCAAGCACCCTCAACTGGGGACCTGGCCTGCAACCCAGGCATGTGCCCTGACTGGGAACCAAGCCGGCGACCCTTCGGTTCTCAGTCCGGTGCTCAACCCACTGAGCCACACCAGCCAGGGCCCATTTGCCTAATTCTTAATAAACTGTTTTAACTGTTAATAAAATAAGGTTGATTGTAATTGTTTTGTAGGTGAAATAGAAGCAGTAAGAAATAGATGACTAGCTCTGGGGCTCTGCACTGGGGCTCGGATCCTTCTAATTAATGCTGCCCTTTCTTAGAGCCCAGTAGGAGGAAAGTGAGACCCACCATTTACTTAATCCGTAGGATTGAAGACACGGTTTATTGAGGCACTTTCGACATGAATGTGACCTTAGAGGCTGCTGGTTTGTCTCCCTCCTGCCCTAGTCAAAAGCATTGGAAGCACTCTGCCTTCCATGTCCTAGTCTTACACAACGGTTGTTAGATAGACATTTGGAGAATTACATGGTTTAATAGCTGCCTTCCTCACTGGACCTAAGTTCTATGAGGACATGGTCATCGTCTACCCTGGTCACCAAGGGATACCTGCAGTAAAAACTGTATTATCAAAGTACGATAAAAGTGCAAAGGAAAAGACCCAACAATATATGTCATCTGTGGAAGTGAGCTTTAATTTTTATCATATTATTTTATAAATGTTCTTATTGAATAGTTCATTGAAGGATCTTAATCCTCAAAGATGGTTAGAAACATTCATTAATGGCTACAAATATTAATTTTGTTTTGCTGCTAATGGCCTAGAGCAGTATTTAAAGTGATTTGCTGATGCTGAGGTTGTAAGGTTGGGGTAAAGCTTGCCAAATCTGTCTGTCTCCAACTTTCCTATCACAAAAACTACTCTATCTCTTTCCAACAGACATGTTTGGGGGAGTGAAAGACAACACTGTAAAGTCAGTATATCTCAAAGCACCTCGTATTTTCCATCCATTCCACAGAGAGTAGTACAAAACACAAGCTGGCTGTTTGGAGGAATGTGCTCATGTTTTCTCTGGTAGCATGCTCATAAATAAACGGTCCCTTTCTGGAGAGAGGGACGACTTACCATGGGGCCTGGAGGGCCATGGGGGCCTGGCGGACCTGGGGGGCCTATGATCTGCATGTCCAAAAAACAAACATGGGTTTGGTTACTTCATTAGATAAGGTGGTTTGGCTTGAATCTTTTGCTGGGTTTCTGCTAAGGCCATTAATAGTTGCAGAGAAAGAAGGATACTGGGAAGAAATGATGTGTTTGATTCTCTAGGCATAGAAATTCTTTTATGAGAACAAAAAAAAATACTTTGAAAAATACAGTTGTTTCACAAAAGCCAGAATAAATCAAAAGTACATTAAAAGAAAAAGGAAGCAACTGATTACCAAGAAATGTTATAATGCCACAAACACTATTAAATTCTCCAATATTTCACTAAGCAACAACAGGGCTCTGGAGAGGAAAAAAAAAAAAAAAAAAAGGAACGTCTGTTCTATACTCACAAAGCTCTACCCACAAGTATCGTGGGAAAACCATTGATTTTTCTTCCCCAGAATTAGACAGTGCTCTGAAAAATTGCTTCAAACTGAGACCTCTGAAACATTTTGTCTCTTATTGTATACAAGGCCAACAGATATTTATTCTACAGTTTGACAAACCAAGAAGTTCATGGTCTTTCCACTGTTGATAAGCCATCTGGCATAGAGTGAGCTAGATGAAAAATAGGCCCGTTTTGGAGTTTCTCAGGAGCCATGGAAGTTCAGCCACCACGGACTTACGGAGGGGCCCTGAGGGCCTGGCAGTCCGGAGTCTCCTTTCTCTCCTTTCATTCCATTGGCACCCTACAAATAATCATTAAGAGAGTTGAGCTGCTCGAGTTATTTCCAAAGTGTAAGGAACAGCTGAATTTTCTCCCCACATCCATCATCCTCTTGAAATTTTTATATCATACACATGATATGTAAAAGAAGGATTTATTCCCCTGCATTTAGCCTCAAACGGCAAGCTTCCCCAAACCCCTAGACTGTGGGTGATATGTGAAATAAAGTATAAAGTAAAGGCATAATAAACTAAGTTAGGCTCGATTGGTTAAACTTATACATTTCTGAATGTATCATATTATAAATGTTATATTTTTAATGGTGGTGCTCACTTTAAAAGGCAAAGGATAGCCTTTTAGCTATGTTGTCATTGACATTTATTTATATACTTCCCTGTTTTAAAAAAAATTGAGGGCAGTAAGGTTTTCTGCATTTTTCCCTACATTTTCCTACAATGCCCCCTCCCATTTCTCAGGAAAACTTATTGGGAAAACCATACAAACACCATTCCATAGTATCACACACAAAAAGAGAACAATTTCCAGAATAATTTGTTTTTTAATTGTTTTAAATTTTTTTGGTTTATTTTTAAATTATGGTTAAAAAATGAACAGTTATCACTATCTTATGCATATTAAATTAAAGCGATGAACTTCATTCATTTTACCATCTTCTAGTGAAAATAATTTTGGAAATATGAAGGTTTATTTTATAATTCATTCGTTTAGATGCTTTAAAATTTGTTATAAAGCCCCAGTTGTAGGAATCAACCAGTAATACCTCAAATATTTAAAAAATAATAACATTATATGAACCATTAGATGAGACTGTAGCTAATAATATAATTCCTTTCTGATTATTTATCTTAGTATGAACATAAACATACCGGTAACCCAGGGAGCCCGATTCCTCCTTTTTCACCGGACGTTCCCGGGTCCCCCATGTCTCCCTTTGAGCCTTTGAGTCCCTGCAAATGATATGGTTTACATGTAAGAATCACACTGACCCTTGATAGTACATCCTAGAGAAAACAGAATTCCACATCAGTTTTGTCAGTAGGTGGGTCCTTCTGTGGAGATGATTCTGATTTTCACTTCTAGGGAGAGGTATTTAGGTAGCAACCTTCTGCATGCAACCAACACTGTTTCCCTGTGTAATAGAAGGGATTCAGTTCTCTCATTTAGGCCCTGTAAGTGTGAAAAACATGGGCTTAGGTGTTGACATCACTTCTCCTGATTCCATATTTTTACCTGGAAGCTAATTCTCTATCACCAGTCCTGAAAACAATTTAATAGAATTAATCCTCAATAGTACAATACGCATTTGAACCAGGAGATAGGGTTACAACAACAAAGGTCCAAATCTCCCCCCTCTCCCACCATATGCCCTGGAGCCCCTTTGAATGCAGGCGGAAGTTCCAACCATCATCAGTTTTCAACGGTCCAGTCTATAGACACGCAAATCATTCACTGCATACTAATGCTCAATCAATGTTTACAAATACTTCAACTTTTCCACAGTGTTCTTATTTTCTTCTCATGACATCTCTATGGGGTGATCCAGGACGTTATTTTTACCTTTTATTACAAGGAAGTAGATAAATGGATATTTTGAATGCTAACATTCTGAATTAGTGATACTAATACTGAAATTAATTTACATTGTTAAGCATTTTCATCGAAGGAAAATGCATAATTTCCTCATTCCTTAAAACTGCATTCCTCAATACAATGTGACCAGCTGTCCCATTCTTCAGCAGAGATCATCATAGTCATTATAGTAAGAGGCTCTGAGGCTATACAACCTGTTCATCTTTTTTATACTAAAAACTACTTGTAGACAGAAATGTGTCTTATCTTGTTCCTTATACCTATTTTATAGCACCTACTTCAGAATCACCCATTAGGTGGGCGGGTAGGTGCCTGAATGACTAAATAAATCTTACTGGTTAATCAGACCCTGGTTGGTTTTAGGATTCTAGTGATATCAACAGAATAGCTAACCCACTGGACTCAGTAGTGGAGGGAAACCTTGTAAAGCCTATAGGAAAAAAATCCAGCCATTGTACATGTAGAGACAATGAAGCATGTTGTTACGTATGTCAAGCTATTTATAATGACCAATAGTAAAGGAAATACACAACTGGATTTAAAATTCTATTATGATTTCTGGTTGATAGGGCAAATCATCTAAAGTCTCTTTTTAACTATCACATTAATTTAATGTGACATCAATTTCAACATATTACTCTGATACTAAAATAACTCTTAAATTTAATTTCCCTATTTAACACTATCACCTGAGGAGTATATTTCACTAACTGCCTCAAAAATCCCCTTCATTTCTTATGATCTACTTAATTTTAGCCACTTTTTGGGTAAATTACGGGAGCCCAGAAAACATCAAATAGCTTGAAACGAACATGTGATTTGAGTCTGAAATTTGAATACTCTCCACAATCTTCTGGCCAGATTCTTTTTGGCTCATGGGCCAAATCCAGCCCAAGGCTTGTTTTTGTACAGGCTGAATGTTTTAAAAAATTTTAAGGGGTGTTAAAAAAAAAAGATACGCAACAGAAACTGTATGTGGCCTGCAAAGCCTAAAACATTTACTATCTGGTCCTTTATAGAGAAACTTTGCCAACCTCTGTTTTAGGGGAAACCTTCAGAGAAACTGCCATACTCTGCCAAGCTCCAACTGCCCTGTTTGTTTCTGTCTTTTCTTAATTTTCTCTTCTAGAAAATTAAGTGTAATCTTTACTTGGGAAAAGAAAACATATATATCTACTTTTGTGGAAACTTTCTCTCTGATTTTCATCTTGAATCATTTATGTTCACTGACAAAAAGTAGGCAAAAAGTACCTATTTTTACTAAATGGGTAATAATTTTACAAGTCAATTAAAAATTCATGGAAGTATCACTGGTAGATTGATAAAAAGTATTAAGACAAAACTAAAGCATCATACAGCTTGTATGTTTCTACAAAGAAACCTGTCTTATTTAAAACGAATTGCTTTTTTAGAGTTAATATAGACTCCAGGGCAGATGGTTAAAAAAAGAGAGTGTATCATATATCAACACACATGTCTTTCTTGGCTTCAAACATACAATAAAAGTAGTGATCAATAACAATGCTTTAAATGACAGTATGTATCTTTGAAAATTACCTGCTCTCCATCAACTCCTGGAATTCCTGGAGATCCTGGCTCTCCCTGTTAAGATAAAAATTGATGGCTTCCTTCCATTTATCATTGGTAGCATACTAAACTATATATAAATGTTGCTAGTTGGTAACAACACAATTTGGCTTTCAGCAAATGTATCATAACCCAAGAATACACTATTATATCATACCACATAGCTGAACTGAGTGAAAGAGCACTGTCTTGAATGTTATGTATAACAATACACACAGGTAGCTAAGATGTAGTGTTTCTATTTTTTTCCTCAGGTGAGATGTAAACTAAAAAAATGGTGGAAGGAAACTGATAAAAAAAAATCATTTGATGGCTGACCATATTCTCTAGCAACAACTTATATGCCTCAGTTAATTTTTTCTCCTTAAAAAAATCTGTATGATTTCTCTCATTTTCCAATTTGAGAAAAAAAGCAAAAATATGACAGTTATCTTAAGAAAGAATAAAATGCAAAGTCCCTTCAGTTCACAATATTTTAACCAGCACTGTTTGAACCATAGACACAAATTTATAATGATTGTGAATGTGTTACTTTCAGATAAGCCCCACTGAAGGCGATAATAAATCAAATAATATCTTAATCCACATAAAATTACTTTGGGATCAATTCAATTTCCTATACTATGCAAAGAATGCACTAAATTTCCTATTTATATTGTGATTTATTAAAACTCTTGACAAACCAAAATATATAGATTTTTTTGTTAACTGAAGATGTTCCATTAAAAACAAATTTAAACAATGTGTTAGAGATTTTTTCAAGCAACAAATGTCAGTCACTTTTCAGTTGGAAAGATACTGAACAAATTCTTTGAAAAGCAAGATATTATTTTATATCAATGAATCATATATTTGGATCCCATTTTAAGTATCCCTTGTTACATTGTGGAAACTTTGTAAAAACATCTCTTCTGAGGGTTGAGCAGCCAGCGTCTCAGACAGAATTCCAAGGGAGCTGACTTGAGGCTGTATTTTTCTAGAAAGGCTTGTTTGGTGATGTTATAAACCACAATACTGAAATGGCTAGAGCTCTTTTCCCCGGTAAAAACTTTAAAAGCTATTGGCCACAGCATGAAATTTGAGCTTTCCCATGTTTTAGAAGGCATGACAAACAAGTGAAAAAAAAAGGAAAAGAAAAGAAAGGGCTTTTCTTTTCCAGATTTCCTGCTCTTTGTGGTAGCAGCAAAGTTTATTTTGCCACAAACAAGCCTGCTGAGGTTGGATGCAACTGGTTAAGCCCTGGTTTTATTCAGTCTGAACACTTGTCAGTACTCTGGGTCCAGAAATGATTGCTTTGCTAAACTTTTACCTTCAAAATGTAACCCACGAGTGCTTAAAAGAAAAACATAATTTGTGAATTGTTCATTTATCCTTCATCCATCAAATGTAGTTTGCAAAGAGTTATTTGATGTCTAAGAATTCACACAATCCTTATTTGATTAAGGGAGGAGCAATGCTAATTGAAAAAGTTCCCATTCAGTCTGAGGCTGTGAGTCCTGAGTGAGAATGGGGTTTCTATCTGGCTCAGGCTGTATTTGCGGAGCCTTGGTCACTGGCAAATCTCACCCCAATCATCCCAATCTTCTCAAGGAGAGATCACGGAACGTATAAGGGACACCATCACCTGACCCAAAATCTCAATTACAAGGTCTTTGTGAGGTGCAAGGGGTGGGACAGAGGGACAGCCTGTTGGGAAGGACGGCTGGATAAGAGGTGAGCGGGTGTGACTAACCGCCTCCCCCCATCCCACTTGTCTAGACATTCAATTGTCCAATTTCCCCGTCTCTCAGTTTCAGCTCAAAGTCATCCTTGATTCCCAAGTCAGAGACAACCTTCTTCCTTTGCATCTTGATCAGAGCACTTCCCCTTATTTATAAATAATTGTGCCTTTACTTGTCTGTCTCCCTCCCAGGCTGTAATCCCCTGGATGAACCCCCTTCCTAGACTTTAGTATTATTACTAGATACGAGTACTTATTACAGAATGGAGGCTCAAAAATTACTTATTGAAAAATTGAATTAAAAAATGAACAGCAATTGGATTATAAAACAAAAGGGATGCAGGTTTTAATGATATAGCCTTCTTGGTTAGGTGGCCCTTTTTGTCCCTGTGGGTCAAGAGATGGGTACTTTTTGGGCTTCTGTAGGCGTTGGGACTGTATAGCAGAGTCCTAGAAGTTGCGGAGGTTTGTAGGGAATGAGGTGCATATTTAGCACATGGGACAATTTTTGTTCTGGATATTCAGTCAAGTGAGGAGACGAAACAAGGAGCTCAGACCTGGTTGACTCTACATAGAGGAAAAAAGAGTCTACAGGTTGCCTTCTAGGTTGTCTAGTCCAGCTCACCAAGATACTAAATAAGAACGCAGGCTGACTTGGACACCAGGAACAAAGATTATGTGTGACCAGAATGTGGTAGAGAAATAGAAAATTAAAATCCCAAACCTTACACTGTTAAACAGGGAATCTCTTTGAAATTAAGGTCTATGTCCAAATATATTTCACATAACCAATGACCTCAGTAATATTTTACTTTATATTTCTTTTTATAATAGGAAAATAACTGTTTCTATATGCTACTTTTCTGTTCTTAAGTATCTTGAAAGCAATGAGTACAAAAGCTGATGTGTTTGTATGTATATGATAGACTTAGCAAATAAACTGCCTTAAGAAGCATAAACAAAAGATGGATTTCTAAACTACCTGAATTGTCTATAAAAATCCAATGACAAAAATCATGTTTCAAAACACATAGCTTAGTTCTGAAAAGCCAGTGTAACTGGTCGTCTGTTAACAGATAACATGATTAAGCTTTAGTTTGGAGGGAGAAAGCAAACACCAGCAACAAATTTTAGATGTAACCAAGTAATTTTAAGCTGCTACTGTTCATAGTTGGTATGCTTCATTAGATAATACTTAAATGACAGAATGCCTGAATATATATAGTAACAGGATGTACTATAAAAAATGGCTCAAAATGATTCCTTAAAATTGTCATTGTGAATGTAACATACTAAAGCTTCCCTTATTCTTTTTATTACAAAATAATTGGAAGGAAGGATCTTTTTTAGTGTCTGAGTAAATTTTCCTTCAATCCTCCTGTATTTAAATATTTTCCCTTCTCCATATACCACATTTAGTGTTTCTTTATATTTATAATTTCTGTAAAGCTTGGTTGACCCTTGTTCAGTATTCCATTTTTTCTCCATTTCCTCCTCCAAAATTTAATGTTGTTCCTATTTCTCTCCCTTCTTTCCTAAGTTGTCTTTTTTTCCTGATCCTTCTTCCTTCAGCCCGAACCTCAATTTCTATTCTTACCTCCTGAAGCAATTCTACTGATCTCAGCTTCTCCAGCATTTTGTAGGACTGATTTTCAAAGATATGAATATTTAATATAGAATTCTTTGCACCATACATGGTAAATGAAAACTAGTAAAATAAAAAATAACCTTTGGCCCTTGTAGTCCTTGAGGTCCAGGTGGTCCAGGGGGACCCTAAATCCAGAAAAGACAAAGTTATAAAAAGTACCTAAGTCCATATCTTAAATTTTATGCTTTAAATAATAAGTATACTACACACAGTCCTAATTTATATCATAATCAAATATTCCCCAATATTGATTTGCAACGAGGAAAACTTTCACCGGTTATAGAATTCTAAAAACTACCTAAACTACATATATATGCATAAACATCAACAAACATGTAGGCCAAAATAATAGTGAAGATGCTTCTGAACTGATCTGTAAGACAATGTAAAATTGCTGCCATGTCTCACAGTCAGCTTCTTGGGTTGAATTAGCTTATTAATATTATCTGTGTTTCTAGACATATTTCTCCCCTCCTCTAGAAAGGTTTTGATTTCCAAACACTAAAGAAAAAAGCTACATAATTAAGATAAGGCCAAAGACTTTTAAGAAAAACAACTCTTTTTTTTTTTTTTTTAATGAAGCAAAGTGATTCCACTGGGGCAAATGTATAAAAGGTTATTAATACAAGAAAAACAAAAATCTCAGATAAAAACAACTGCTACATTAGTACATTTATGAGCAGCATGCATCAACATCGAATATGAAGCCCCAAACCACAGAAATCATGCAACAGGAGTTATTACCGTGACAGTTAAGGTGGTGATCCTCTGTTGAGAAAGTGAGTTGATAAAGACAAAGTTACCTATTTTGTGTGCTAAAGTGCAGTAACACATTCTGAAATAATCAATGTTTTGAATACGTTTTGGCAAGACTGATATCTTATAAGGAATTGGCAAGAATCTGAGACCATATTATCCTATCTTCCAATGAATGCAATATATTGTAAAGATTCTTTTAAATATTATTTTTAGAATTTTATTTTTTTAAAAAAATCTATGGATTAAAAAAAGATGTCAAAATTTTAATTCACCTGATTTTTAAAAATTGTGTATAAAATATACACAAGAGGTAATAGTATATATGAGAGATATATATTTTATTTTATATAATAACATAATAATATTATATACAAGAGGTAACCGTTACCTGAGATACTCCACCATTCACAAGAGCTCTGTTCTAGGGTATTTTGATTAGAGAAAACCAAAGTATCTAATTGTGTAAATGATATATTTTTTTCTCTTTTAGTCTATATCCCACGGCATGCATGTGCACACCAATTCTAAAGATAGAAGCTGACATGGGGCTTTATCTAGTTCCTTAATGAAAAGTGCTAGAGTACTGTAACAAAATATATTCTCTGAAAGTATGAATCTCCCAAACATTCGATCCATGAACCATTTCTGTATTAATATTTTCTAGTTTAAGTCTTGTGCTAAATGTTCTATAGGACCTATAACCAATTTATGTAACTGTAGAGGGGAAAACACTCTCCATTAAGGACTCCAGTCTTAACAGAGAAGCATTATCCAATTAATGTAAACTTGTGAATACCTCTTTAACACAATCCCTTTGTTTTCCACTATTCCGTTCAACTTCTGATTCAGGCTGTTGTTGCTCATTTGTTTTTTTCTTTTTAATCATTGTTGTGAAAAATAATCTTAACATTATCTATTGTATTTCAAAAACTTGAGTTTCTAGTGACATGGTGTCATTATTTCTTAGAAAATGAAATGCATCACAAGAGTGGAGGGGGAAGAGGCACCACAGGGGAAAGGAGGGGCAGGGTCAAGTCAAGGAACCTCTAACAGGATCCATGGACAAAAACAGCAGAGGGAGGGACGTGGGCAGGGCAGGGGAGAGGACTGGGGGAAAATGGGGACAACTGTGATGGAACAACAATAAAAAATTTTTCACCAAAAAGCTATGGCAGACTACTGAGATGGAGAAATTCTGTTCACTGATTTCATGAATTCAATAAAGGGAGGCCCCTAAAAAATACAAGAAAATGATATATTTATGCATGTGTATAAATGGTTCAATTTTCTATCGTATGATAAAATCAGTTGTGGTCATTACAGCTTCAGAGAAAACACAAACTGGGGCAAGTTTATAAAAAAAAAATCAAGGCCCAGATTTTTATATCATCATATTTGTGTAAATTAAGATACAATTTACTTTATTCTTATGGGATCCACCTAAAGCAAGAGTTGAATTTATGGTTATGGGAAAGCTACTTCTTCACTGTTATTGGGTGGATGAGACATTATTTTAAAAGTTGTTAGAAAATTATAGAGTAGAAATAATTTCTTTATGATTGCCTTCCAATTACATATTGCAATTTTAACTAGAAAGCAGAATCATAAGACTTTAGAAAGGGAAGGGAGTTTAAAATATGAACTCTCAATAGGTTTTCCATCATGTGTCATATATAATTCATTTTTCACCTAAACACAAAGAGTTTGTATTTTTTTTAATTTAAGGATAACAGCATGTGTTTTGATAAGGTGCTTAATAAAAAATATTATTAATGGTAATTGAACTATCTAACAGACGGAGTTTAAATGATCTTGTTAAATAACTGTATTTGTGAGATTTAAAAATTATAGTGGGCAGGTCCCATCCAGTTAATAGAAGAATGAGTGACAATAAACTAAGCTAATTTCTTAAAACTGAGTTTTTATTGCAATCCTAAAGCACCAGTGTACAGACTCACAGAGACGTCCAAAAGATGTTTGCTCACATTGGATTTCTTATATCTGGTTATTTATTTATTTATTTTTAATGTTTCTTTTATTGATTCTAGAGAGAGGAGACGGGAGGAAGGAAGAGAGAGGGAGAGAAACATTGATGTGAGAGAGAAACACCAATCAGTTGCCTCTCACATGAACCCCGACTGTGGACCAAACCAGCAAACCAGGCTGGGACTCGAACCCGCGACCTTTCATTCTATAGGATGACACCCAGCCAAATGAGCCACACCTGCCCGGGCTCTGGTTCTTCTAAGTTAAAGCTATATAAACTCAACAGGATTCTCTCTTGAAGTTCAGTAATGATTTGAAAACCAGAATGTTGGTCCTGATGAAGAAAGACACACCATTCTCTAGTGAGGCATGATGTGAAATGGGAGGCTGGCATGACTATAAACTGGTTGAAGGCTGGCAGGCTGCTTGGTAATTTATTCCCTGAGATGTTCAGGTGAATTGCATTGTGTTTCATTTCTGACAAAGATGCAAGCTTAAAGTCAGCCGTGATTTACCCTACAGAACAGGTTTAGTTTGAATGGTGTTGAGGAATTTTAAAACGTGAGTAGGAAATGAAGAGATTTTACTGCTAATTGTGGAAATGTAATCACCTTAGATAAGAATAAAAATAAATGGTTATGGCAAATGTTAATGTAAATAATAACTTTTGATAGAGACAACAGTAAAAGTTTTATATTTGTAATGTGATATTTTTATAACTGTAATATAGTCCTATTTATCTAATAATCCTAAACTTTTTGCAGATTTTTTTTTTGGAGGATGCAATAGTGAAATGAAATTGGCAAAACTGAAAATCCATCACTGGTTAGAGAATTAGAAGAATAAATGTCTGCTACTCCCTCTCATTCTAATGGCTAGTTAGTTTAGCTCATTATGGGAAAGGCAGGATTATAGAGCCTTAAAAATCCGATGGAGAAGTTTGAGCTTCATAGAGTAGGTGAGGGGGCCCATTTAGGTTTCTGAGCACACTGAAGCCATTGAAATAGTAAAAAGTAGGAAAGTTAGCCATGGAGTGACAACAGGATGATCAGAAGAGCAAGGAGGCACCCGAGCAGAGGAATTGGTTGAGGGCTTGTTGCAGTGTTAGACCTGAAATAAGAGGAATGTGGACCTAGCTGGGAATGGACAGAATGGAGCAACCTCATCAGATACCTTGAAAAGGGGACAGTAGCGTCTGGTGTGATGTAATAGATGAAGGGCTAAGAATAGTTTAAAAATAACTAAAGTTTCTATTTCAAGAAATTCAAAGACTTATGAATTCCATTAACAGAAATTGGTTAGTTAACAAAGAGAATCACTTGGTAGGTAGGAAAGGTAACCAGTTTAATGTTGTGTCTTGGTGGAAGTTAATAAGGCAATGGTGTAACCATAGAGGAAATTTTCCTAGACAGCTGAAAGTACATGCCAGGTCTGATTTGGCAATGAAAGATTTGGAAGCAGCCATACTGCAGAAGAACATGGAGTGATCGTACCAAGAAAAGACCAGAGACAAGGATGTCAAAAATTAGGGAATGGACAGAGAAATTGAAAATACAAAAATTGAGTGGATCCATCCAAAAAGAAAACTGGAAGAAATGAGAGTAGAGATCAGAGAAACCAGGAAGAAAAGTTTCAAAAGGAAGGTGATTTTGTATAAATGTCACAGATAAGTACAATGTGCTTGGCCTAGAGGTAATTGGTGACTTTTATTGGAGAAGTTCCAGCAGAATAATACAAGCTAGGATGCAGGAATCTGAACATGAAGAGGATAACTAGGATGTAAAGTGATGGAGACATGCCGCACAGTCTATAGTTTTTAGTTAATGGAGGAAAAAGAATTGAATGGTAGCAGTAATAAGAAACACCCATAGAGGACTTACGATGCACCAGGCATTTAGCCATTTACTGCTCATAGCAGCCTGGTGAAGTAGATACTATGCCTGTCCTCATTTTAGAGAAAACTGAGGCACAGAGAAGTAAATTAACTTGCCCTAGGTCATGCATTTAGTTAATAAAAGAGCTGAGATTTGAGCCCAGACAAATTAACTCTAGAACCACAGGGCTTTTTGTTGACTTGCTAGGCTTGCTTTTCAAGCAAGGATTGGTGAAACTAACACAAGGTCTAAACTAGGTAAGACTCTGGAATATCTGAAGGTAGAAGGGAAAGGAAAGACAGAAAGATGTTAGGAAATAAAAGGATAAACTGGGGCAGAAAGAAGGGGGTGGGTTCAGCATAGGGAGAGGGGGTGCTTTGAGCAGTGGAGCCTCTGGGATCCCCAGGATGTGGAAGCGGATGTTTACACACATTACATGGTGCGTATGAATGTCACCGTCTGGGTCAGGGCAGGGAGCAGTCACTTGCCTGCAAGGCTTCGTGGAGGTTGCCATTATAGTCGATGATCTCGGTGGCTCCTTGATCCCCCTTTTGACCAGGTGGACCCTATAAAAAAGCAACCAACATAAAACCATGTGGTTGGGCTAGGACATAGAGGGGACTGTGGCAAAAAACGGAAGTAGCAACTTGCAGCTCTCTTTGACCGTTAATTCCCTACTAAGACACAAATGCATTTTAGAGTACATAAAGCACGTTTGAATTTTGTCTTTATTTCAAAGGATGCAAATCATTTCTAACTTCCTTGTCTATGGTACATTAAACATAAGAAATCTGAATAAAAAAGAGATATGATTCAATCTCTGAAAGTGTTCTCTGAAAATTATAAAATGTTGGCTAATCTGATTTGACTTGCAAACATATATTGGCTTTATTCCATATTTATTAAAGCAACCCCTAACTTTTCTAGCCAACTACAACTCAAAGATTGCTTTCTCGTTAAGGAGATAGAACACTGTTCTTAGGAAATGCCTGGTTTTCCCAACTGGAATAGAATTTTATTAAAATAAAACCGAACAGGGACCACAAAGGAGAATACATGTATTTTTAAGACTTCTATTCTGCTCATTATCTCTGCCACTGAATTTCCATTAGTCATGTCCTAATTCCTTGCCTGTGTTTACAGAAGTCTTTGAAGATACAGGTTATTGCTTTCTATGTAACTGGGTTAACTGAAATATGGAAAATTCTATTAGCTGGATGACTATGGGCTTGTTATCGTTCATTTAGCAGAGAAAAAGTAGATGGAGAGGGTTCTTTAGATCTTATTCTCTTGAGCTTGTTTTAGTTGTGAGAATCTACACACTCATTGTTACCAGTGACTGAAATAAAAAATAATAGGAAAGGGAGGTAATCAGGAATAATTACAGTAGCCTACCTGCAGTGCTATTATTGGGTGTTATTAGTTCAAGTGTCTTGTAAAAAGACACACAGACACATACTTTAAATCTGGGCTTGCAAGGGGGAAGGGGAGGAGCAAAAGCTCAGACAAGAGATGAACTCACCCTTGGTCCCAGGGTTCCAGAGTCTCCTTTGTCGCCACGGTCACCCTTTCACCAGTGAAAAGAGAAAAAGCCTAGTCAGTAGTCAAGCCAGCAGTCTAGGAATATCTCAGATCTAAGGATATATTTAATACCATACAGCAGCATCCTTAGTACAAACTTCCAAAGTTGGAAATCACAACTGGAAGAACAATAACCACCAATATGGCAAATGCTTCTTTAGATAAGAGAGAATCTTGGAACAACAATGTGTATGTTAGCTCTCTTGCTAGGGATCTTCAGAAGCAAAGCAAGTGGTTTCCATGACACCCAGAGTACACTTTTATCTCTCAGACTGAACCATGTTATTGCCTTTATATGAAAAGGTTTGAGTCAAAGGGAAAAAGAGCCAACCATTTTATCTTTCCTCTGAGAAGTAAAGTGTAAATAATTGAGACAGGGAAAGAATGAAGGGCTCATTTTAGGCAGAATAAGAAGGGAAAGGTCACCAGCTAGGTCTTCCTCTGATGATGGGGATTTAAGGAAAAGTCTTCCTGCAGGTACAGGCATTTCAACACTCAGAAGGTGCTGCCGTGGAGAGCAGCTGTCTGGGACTGGTGGGCAGGGCTGAAGGTCCGGGAAGGGCAAACCCAGCTCTCCCTCTTCTTAAATGCAATATGAAAATATCTCCGAAGTTCCATTTATGGTGTTATTACCCCCCCAACTCCCACAGAGACACCGGGAAGAGTCCAAGTCTCATACTGCACGCACATCCCTGTGAACACTTGACAATCTCAGAAGTCTAAACAGAAGTGTTGGAGAAGAGATTTGAACCTGTGTAGATTTGAAGTTTCTTTAAAACAGCCTTAAATTTATTCAGGCCATTTTCTAAATGGAATTAAAAGCATTTTGACATGCCTTTCTATAGATTACTATAAACTGGGAAAGGAGCAATGAGGAGAAGCAGGAAAAGCAGGAAACGGGATTATAGTTTTTCTCCATCCACACTCACCCATAATAATTAAATTTGCTATGGATGGAGAACAATTCCTGCTCTGCTTTCTTCATTTTTACACCAACTTTTTCATGTTATTTATTAGCTAACAGCATCTTAAATAACATGATTCTGTTAAAAGTGCATAGATAATTGCAAACATTATAAAAAACATGGTAAAGGAAAGAATTCAATTGGTGGTAAAATTTTAATGCAATGAAGGGATTCAACTAACTTAAAAGCAAAATATAATTTGAACATCTATCACAAAGGTAGCCACAAAATGAAAAATAAGTTCATTTCATACATAAGTTAAATTAAGTACAGAACTTAATTTTTTCCCAAAGAAACTATTTTTGTGAAACAGATAAAACAACTTTCTTTAAAGAATAATCTGAAGCATAGGAACAGGCAAAAACAAACAGGAGGAAACAAACCAATTGTTCTGAGATATCATCAGAGGGATGAAATTATTGCAATCCCAGTGTACAGAAGAGTTTAATTGAAAACATGATTCTCTGTGGAAATGCCAAAAAAGCACAGCTCTTGAAGGCCTCATGTTACATTAGAGTGCCTGGTTACTGACCTTTGACCCCTTTGGGCCTCTAGCTCCTGATTCACCTTGTTTCCCCTATTATATGAGAACGTGAAGGTGAAAAAGAGAAAAAAAGACAGAGGAGATAAGAACAGAAAAAAGATATTATTAGTGACTCATAAAGATGGAAACACTTTATTTTAACTATCATAATATATGGCTTTATGTACTGTTGGCTATTAAAACACCAAACCCAAGTATCGTCAGGTATCACGGGTTCACTGCCTGGTCTGCCCGCCAGCCTGCAGCCCAATGCCACTGCCGGCTGCCCGCCCCGCCGTGGCCCCGAGGAGCGCTGTGATTAATTCTCATTAGTCTCAACGGTGTCTGCATAAATTTCTTTCTCATCATTTTCTGTGTCTCTAGCAGGGGTTATTAAAATAAAGTGTTACCATATTAGTTTGCAGAAAGTTTAGAGAAATAAAGATTGAACAGTCAAGTAAATCCTTAGTGCTAATATTTTCAAGGTGTTACCATCAAGTTACCATTGAAACTAACACAACCTATACCAACATGTTCTCACTAAGTTTTAATACCCAGTGAGCAATAGTGTGTCAACACCAGTTCCTCCCCCTTTACATTTGGGTGTGTTTTTAAATTTGTTCATCAAAAAGAAGAGAGAAAACTGGGAAAGTTGAATTGTAAAATTCCTTTTGGAAAGAACCAACCGGTGTGCCTTTCAATAAATTATTCTTATATTTCAATAAGTTATTAATGCCTGTTGAGAAATTTTTAGATTTTAGTTTCATGTTCTCAAGCAACGGGCACACCCATGTCCAAACTGAAGAACGCCATTTTCCAGGGTAAGAATAACTGACCTTTGGTCCAGGGGCCCCAGGCTCTCCTCGCTCGCCTCTTCCAGGAGGCCCCGCCTCCCCTCGTTCACCCTGTCACAGATTGTGAAACCGGTAAATGGCAACTGCCCTCTCCACCCCCACCCCCAGCTGGTCCCCGCAGATTAGTAAGTAAGTTGAATGAAATTAAAGAAAGTTGAGAGTTGCCACTTATTTATCATGTACCCAGTGCCGTATTAATCTCAGCATGAATGATCTAATTTAATAAAATGATGGTTCAATGAACTGTTTTATCATTTTCACTTGATAGATAAGGAAGTGAATGGGCAAATGCCTGTCAGACACCTATGCTGGTACATGCAAGACCTTTAAAAGAACGTGATAAGGGCCACGGTGATACCTCAAAACAGAGACATAGTTTTCATTCTGCAGCCACTTTCTAAGCACTGCTGGGATGAAGCACGGCAAAGCGGTCAAGGCTGTGTGATGGTCACATCTTGTCACTTTGCAATGGTTAGGCTACCTAAAATCTTACATCCTGGGCCTTACCCCTGGCTGTTGTTTATCAGTTCTGTGTTTGGGGGCAAGTTAGTTAAGTTCCAAAAGCCTCTGTTTCCTCTGTAAAATATACAAAATTGTAGTACTGGTCTCATAACTTACAAATGTAAAGTGCTCTGCATAGTACAAGACACATAGGTGTTACGGCTTTTACTCTATTCACAGCTCTGTGAAGTACGAACAAGATCACCACTCCCAATGAGCTGGTTATACAGACAAGATCTATATAACAAAATAATTAAGAATTAAAGGTCAACATAAGGCCATAGATGAGCAAAGAGGAAGCCCACGAGTTGGTCTTCAATGGTCCAGACTGGTTCCCTGAAGGTGAGATTGGGTCGTGTTCTGAAGGATGAGTAGGTTGCATTTTATAATTAGTGCTGCTTATGGCTGTGTTATTAATGAGTACAGGAACGGCACAAAACCGTTTAGATGCATTGCCCTATTTAATCTTCAGGGCAGATGAGAAAGGTGTTAGTATTCACAGTCTGCAGACGAGGCACTAAAGTTCAGAGAGGTTAAGTAACTTTCTCAAAGTCATAAAGCTTGAAAAGGAAAAGCTGTAACTTAAAACTGTTTGTGCGTCACTTTTAATTTCTGTATAAATATTTTTGTATGTAATCCTTTGAACATATCTGGTCATTTTCTTAGGGTAAATTTGTAATTGGGGAATTGCTGTGTCTAAAAGTATGAACGTTTTAGAAATTTGCCAAATCACCCTCTGGGAAGACAGAAAGCGGACTGCTTAGCTTCCTGCATGATGGGTAAAACCGTAATCATCAAACAGGTTTTGAATTCAGTCTGGCATTAGCTTGTGTGCAGAAGGAACTGATGCATCTTGGAAAGGAGAAGAAAATAGGATCAGACCTGTGATGGGTGATATAGGGCTTTAAGTTCTGAGATCTTTATCTGTGTCACTCCCACTCTGGGAGGTCTTCATGGTTTTGCAGGGGAGGTGGGATAGAGTAGGGCAGGGATGAAAGAAGACTCAGTAGGTTTCTCAGCATGAACCAAGGAGAGTGGGAAAATGGAGAAGGTGGGAGAAAGGCAAGGGCCTGACTGGGTGCAGGAGATGGAAAAGACGCTCCAGAGGGCTTTCCCAGGGACCAGAGACAGATGCACGTCTGTTGATATATGAAATTTTTACTTTAAAAATGTACCATATTTGGTGTTTCTCTTAATATTTTATAGAAGAATTCTAAAATGGTAACTCTAAGCTTATTTTAGGGAAAAACAAAAACCTTAGACAATCATTTATCTATAATATACCATAGGAGTAGAGTCAGTATGTCTTTACCTAGAATCACTTTAAAAAAAAAAATCACAATGCCCTTAGGTAACTGTTTATCACTTTCTGGATGACATTATTTCTTTACTTCTCTCTCCTCCTACCCACCCTTACACATACTGGAATGGAAGCTTCAGGAGAGTAGAGAGTGTTTTTGCTGCATTTACTCTTCATTCACAAATACTAGAAAAATGTCTGAAAAAACTATTGAATTAATGAATAACCAGGATCACTCAAAGTATTCTAAATTATTGGGAATAACGCCTCGTCTCCTTAGGCTGCTGTGTGTCTCTGCCAGGACTGAGGCAGACCCTGAGGACACAGCAATGCATAAATAGATTTTTAAATGGATTATGCATCTTCCTTCATTATGATTTCACTGTGTTGGGGGTAAAAATGCAGGTTTAATTTATTTTTTTAAATCTGACTTGAATGGTACAAATCTAGATACCTACAAAACTGGGGGTAAGAACTAGTGTTTGGATGCCAGAGATTTTTAAATAATCATGACTTTTCCGTTATGATACCAAATTCATGAAAGCGAGGCAATTTAGCTGGGAAATAAACTTCATGATAATGTTGATAAAATGCATTTCCTATCTACATCCCTTCTTATGGAAATACAAAACAGGGACCTCACATTCTTTACTTTTATTGGGTGTTCAGAGCAGTATCTGTTATAAAAGTATCTGGTCTGTAAAATCAGGCTGGGTTCTTTATGTACAGTAATTAACATTGACTTTATGGCTCTACATCTGGATTTTTTTTTTTTTTGAAACCATGGAATAGTTTTAAAATCAATAAACTAAAGAAGAGATATTTGGAGATAAACACCACTCTCTACTGTCCACAAACATTTGGAGATTAGCTGGCCCAGGCCTGGTTCTCTGAAGACTGGCCAGGTTTCCCTCCTTTGTGCCTATAACCAAGACTGCCTTCCTTCTCGGGGGCCACAAGCCCAGTAGGTACGGCCGTTCTAATATGCGCACAGAACGTTCATTATTCTATCGCTCTCTCCTTATTACACAAAGTGTGTTTCTTGTGTGAATCTGTTCAGGCTAAAACAGGCATTTCTCATATTTTGTTAATAAGCCTGACAGCTCATTATGTGAAAAAGAAATTGCTGGGGAAAAAAAAGCCACTTTGCATACATTCGACAGAGTTTCAGTCCCCCTTGGGCCACACATAGTTTCCATTTACTAGGATTAGAGTTATTTTCTCCTGACCAGAGGGAATGAGGACCCTTCTGTCAGAACAGACCATGAACACATTTCTCCAGCTCCTGGAAATCATCCTGTTTTATTTCTGGCGGATGCAATACACATTGAGGCAAAGGCTGCTATGGTTTAAAATAAAAAAAATGTAGTTTGATCTAATTTTGCCCCTCCTTTGATTCATGAGTCTGTCATGAGGAAAGTTCTATCCTCAGAGCTGTACCTTTTTATGTCTTGCTGGGTAGATAAAAAGAGAACTATAGGCCTGACTGTATCCGTAGCAACATAATTTTTTATTTGCCGGCATATAGATTGTGCTTTTAGGGCCCTCTCTAGGGTTGCCAAGTGGAAGATCATGAGATGGTTTTCATTACAGAATCTTTCTGCAAACGTTTTTCAGGATGGATCTTTTTGAGATGAGGCACTTAGGAATCTATATGACATCAGTACTCCTTGAAATCTAGGGAGTGATGTGGGAATGATAATAATGTTGATTTACAGGTACGTCCTAAAATCGGTGATAAGGGGCAGGAGTTAGTTAATGAGTTCTATCTCTCCTCCTCAGAATCCCCCCACTTTTCCATATGGCCAGGAGGCTAATAGCATCTCATCAATTTTGGAACAATTTGGGGGGACAACTGGAACAACTAATATATTTCACCTTCCTGTTGTTTTGCTTAAGGTTAAAATTAACTTCCTATTACTCTCTGTAATATGGTATCCCTATTAGAAGTGTTAGAATGCGTGATAGGCTGCTTTAGTTCTCTATTAGGCTAAAATATATGGTCACCTAAATAATAAAGTTACCTCCTTTTTCTTGCAACCTAATGGACTAAAAATACATAACAGAAAAGTTCAGAAAGAAAGGAAGGAAAAAAGACTCCACTCACCTTTGTTCCCGGTAGCCCTGGTAAGCCTGGCTCTCCTTGAGGACCCATGAAACCCGGTTCACCCTTTAAAAAAGATGGGCATACGAGATCTTTATCACTTGACAGCAAGTACGTAAAATTAAACCGATTTCCTTCTACTGGGATTTTACTTCTTTGATTGTACACAGCCTTCCTGTTGAGATCCAGCTACTGACTATAAAATTAATCAGAATAGGTTTCGATCAATGAGATGAGCAAAGCTTTGGAGAAGCTTTAGAAGGAGAGGTAGCAAACCAAACATATAAGTGTCTTTATAATTTCCTTCCTCACCTGCTGTCCAGTGCTTCTTACCATTTGCCAAATCCAATTAATTATGTTTGGGTAACCATGGTAGGCAGCCTCAAAAGTAGGCATTAATGATCCCACCACCTGGTATCAGGTCTTTGTGTGATTCCCTCTGCTTGAATGTAGACTGGATTTAATGACTCATATCCAATGAACAGAATTTGGCAGAAATAATGGGATTTCACTCCTGAGACTAAATTATTAAATGATGGTGGCTTCCATCTTGGGGTCTCTCACTTGGATCATTTGCTTTGGGGAAAGCGAGCTGCCATACTGTGAACAGGCCTATGCAGAGGTCCCCATGGTGAGGTATGAGGTAGGCCAGCAACAACATGTGTGAGCTTAGGACTGGACACTCCACTCAAGTGACACCACAGTCCTGTGTGACAGCGTGACTGCGTCCTCACAGGAGACACTGATCCAGAGGCACAAATTCCTGTTTCTCCAAAATTATGAGATAACTGTTTTTTGTTTTAAGTCACTCTAGTTTAAGGGGGTAATAATGATATGCAGCAATAGATACCTGAGCAGTAGCTGTGGCTAGGGAAGAGATTCAGGAATGTTCAGCATGGAAGAAAAAATCTCTTTCCTTGTCCTACCTACAGAACCTCTTCTCCACTGTCTGGAGGAAACCCAGCTGTGGTACAACAAAAAATATATTTGGTCTTGTTTCTGGTTCCTTGCATAGAACTCCTAAAACCCTCTGAATTTCCTGAGTGATAAGAGTAATAGGAGCATCTTTTGTTATTCTTAACAAGCCCCTTTCAAACCTACCTGAGTGTATAAGGTGACTCTTGCTGGGCCCCTAGATAGCTTCAGGACGGGGCCTATGACAAGGAGGTGGAAACTTTCAGCCCTTCCCTGCCTCTCCCTATCTCCAGAGAGGGGAGAAAGGTTGGAGACTGAGTTTAATCACCAGTGGCCAATAATTTCATCCATCGTGCCTACAATGGAACCTTCATAAACACTCCTAAAGAGGCATGGAGAACTTCCAAGCTGGGGAACACATCTCTGTGCTGGTGTGATGATGCATCCCACCTCTATGGGGATAGAGGTTCCAGACCTTAACCTATGTGTCTCTTTATCTGGCTGTACATTTTTATCTTTTATAAAAATCTTTAATATTAAGTATGGCCTTTTCTTGAGTTCTCTGAATAGTTCTAACAAATTATCCAACTTGAGTAGGGTTGGGAATGGTGGTTATGAGTACTGTCAAATTTGTAGTTAAGTCACACAGAAGTGCAGGTGGTAACCAAGGGACAAAGTACCTGTGATTCATGCCAGAAAGGAGGGCAGTCTTGTGGGGCTGAGCCCTTAAACTAGTAGAGTCTGACGCTAACTCCAAGGAGTTAGTGTGACAACAGGACTGAATTGTAAGGCACACAGTTGGTGTCTGAGAATGAGAGTTGGATAATCAGTGTTGGAAAAAGCACATATTTGGTGTCAGGAAATACTTCATACCAGTGTTCATAGTTTCTTAAATTTCCATAAAGTTTTATTTTCTTTTTCAAAACCTGAGTTCAAATGTAAGACGATATAATTTCCTAAAATCTATGATGAAGTTTTAAAGCAAAAAATGTATTGCCCTGTTTCCATATTTTATTTCCTCCCTTCCTCCCTCCCCTCCCTTTCCTTCCTTTCCCTTCCTTTCTTCCTTCCCTCCTTCCTTTCTTTTCCTTCCTTCCTTCCTTCCCTCCTTCCCTCCTTTCTTCTTTCCGTTCCCTCCCTCCCTTCGTCCCTTCGTCCCTCCCTCCCTCCCTCCCTTCCTCCCTCCTTTCCTTCCTTCCTTCTTTCCTCTATTGGATTATTTCTACAATAGTTGCCAATGTTTATACATTTGATTTTTGATAAGGTAGTGACATTTTAACATTTGTTTTGGTACTGGGAGTTGAGTCTTTAAAAACATGATATATCATGGACAAAACCAAAGGGGAAGAGCTGAGGAAGGGAAGGAAGGAGGGGGCAAGGGAAAGTGGTGGGGGGTAGGCAGAGACAAATGTATTTGAAAAAATAAAAACATTAGAATTAAAAAATAAAAAAATAAAAACATGATATAAAATCTTGGGTATTGGGTGAGCAGCAAACTGATATCACCACCACAAAATTTATCATATTGATATAGAACTCAAATAGATTTATTTCTGGCTCTGATGTTCATGGTACTGATTTGAGAAAGAAACAAGGTAGAGAAGAACTAATGCTTTAGGTTATTTTTTTGTGGAATTTCTACAACTTTATCCTACCTGTTCCCATATCCTTACACATGTTGGAAAGGAGAATCTGAACAAATAATTTTGGGTGGATCTCTTAATGGTCTAAAATGAAAACCAACTATATTCAGAGAAATCATGATGACTATTCTACTTCTTATAAAAGAGTTTAACTTGTTATTTTAAACAAAAGAAATCATAAGGAATAGATTTATTTACAAGTAAGGTATTTTTTTCCAATAAAATTATATATACATATGTATATAAATATTCCCTCTCCACTCTCAATAAAAAAAGTTGTATAAAGTCAATGTGTATCATTAGTAATGACTTACTGTCATAGAAATATAATGCAAGTTAATAGGTTGAAAGTTTACATGTAGACAAGACTCTTGCACATCTTCAAGTAGAAACAAAACGATCTCACTTTTTAGCAAAGCAAGTAGAAGCACTATTAAAGTACACTAATAAGAGAGAAGAAAAGAGCAAATGTTGCAAACATGTATTTCTTATTCATGTTAGTGCTTAGTTTATAAAAGATGAAGCATGCAGTTTCATAGTTCACAAATAAATAAATAAGGCTTTGTGATCTCAGTTGCTAGAGAGAAGTATTTTTCGTCATTTTTAGAAAACAGAACATATATTAAATTCTCCTGAGTAAATGTATAAAAAGTTCTTTTCAACAGAATTGTTAGAGGAAAAAATTTAAGAAAGCATCTACCATATCCATACACTATTTTTTAAAATTTATTCAAGGACAGAATAGCATACTTAACTTTAGGATCACAGACTTACATTTATTTAATTCCAGAGTTTCAGTGACTTTAGAGACATTAGCTCCCTCCTTTCTATGAGGAGGAATTAATTATTGGTCTATTCTTTGTCTCAGGCTTGAAAGACTATTACCGAGGTAAGACAAAAATATGTCTACTCACGGTCCTGATTGAGCTGGTTGGACTGTTTCTCACCTTCCTAAGCTTATAGTTCATTAGTTTACAGAGTAGGAAAAGTTCATCAATATGGCTGCAGATTCCACATGTCACCTAACCTTTAAAAAAACTACCACTTGTAGAGATTGGGGTAGTATCAAAGAAGAATACTTGTAATTTTATGAAAAGCCTTTATTAAAATAATCTTCCCTTGTCCAATTGCATATCTGTATAAGACTGGTATTCCTTTATACACTTTAACCAAAACAACAAATTGCAACAGATAGAATGCAGAAGCAGATATGCGAATTCAGCTATTTTCTATTAAGCTAGACTACAGAGATTTGCATAGAATAAAAAAATAACAATGTCACTTTTCTTGGTTTTTTTGGAAGATTCAGCTATAGCTCATAAAACATGTTAATTAACACATAATCAGTTTTTTAAATTTCTGAATTTTAATTTCTAATACAGAAATATAAATACATATAACCTACATAAACAAAAACTCTCTCAATACTAATTTGTAAGTATAAAGAGGTTTTGAAACCAAAATGTTTGGGAACTGTAGGTACAAAGTTACAGAATTGAGTTAAAGCCTGACTTTGGAAGCTGGACTTTGATCTGCCAAATAACAGGAGATTCTGGCATTGTTAGAGGTGGCTTAGTTAAGACATCATAAGATAATGCAAGCAAAGTATCTAGCACTGTCTCTAGAATAAAGTAAGTGAACAATAAATGTTTGTTATTATTGTTGTCCTTATCTACTGGCTCAAAAGTTTTACCTATCATTATTATTAGTAGTAATAGTAATAGAAGTATTACATCTCCCCAATAAATTGGTGACATACAAGGTGAATGCTTGTTTTTGGATTTTTTTTGTTTTTTTTTTTTACAACATGGATGGGGCTATACTCAATATCTCTTCATTTTCTCTCAAGAAGTAACCTTTGCCCTGGCTGGTGTGGCTCAGTGGATTGAGTGGTGACCTGCAAACCAAAGTGTTGCTGGTTCGATTCCCAGTCAGGGCACGTGCCTGAGTTGCAGGCCAGGTGTCCAGTGGGGGGCACCTGGGGGGGTAACCACACATTGATGTTCTCGCCTCTTTCTCCCTCCCTTTCCCTCTCTCTAAAAGTATAAATAGATAAAATCTTTATAAAAAAAGAAGTAACCCTAAATTTTCTTACGTGAACCTATAATTTTATGATACAGTATCCATCTGTGAGAGCATTTAGGATTGCAAAACCAAAAATGTGTAAGGTAAAGAAGTAATTGGTTTACTATGAATGAGTTCTCATCCTATAAGGAAGAGAAAGACAAACATGGTCATACCTATTTAATTTCCTTATATAAAATGTAATCCTATAAAAAAAATCTTGTCTCTTTGACAAGGACTGATACAGAGTTTAAAGGCTGTAGATTTCTCCTAAAATGTCTAGTAGAAAGACTATGACAACCTATGGTCCTATAAATACTTTACCATGATGTAAAAATGGAAAGCAAGGGGTTATTTTACTGTTGTCACAATTCCAGTTAACCAGGATAGAGGAAGGAGACTAAATCAGGGAAGGTAGGGAAAAGCAGCTGAAATATGATTCAA